GAAAAAGAGATCACATCTCTCCTGTACTAGCTTCTCTGCATTGGCTCCCTGTAAAATGTAGAATTGAATTTAAAATCCTCCTCCTCACCTATAAAGCTCTTCATGGTCAGGCCCCTTCATATCTTAAAGAGCTCATAGTACCTTATTACCCCACTAGAACACTACGTTCTCTGAATGCTGGGCTACTTGTGGTTCCTATAGTCTCTAAAAGTAGAACAGGAGCCAGAGCCTTCAGTTACCAAGCTCCTCTCCTGTGGAACCAGCTTCCAGTTGTGGTTCGGGAGGCAGACACCCTCACCACATTCAAGAGTAGGCTTAAGACATTCCTCTTTGATAAAGCTTATAGTTAGGGCTGGATCAGGTGAGTCCTGAACCATCCCTTAGTTATGCTGCTATAGGCCTAGACTATCGGGGGATTTCCCATGGTGCACTGAGCTCCTCTCTTCCTCTCTCTTTCTGCACTCATTCATGTCCCATTAATGCATGTTACTAACTTCACTTCTTCCCCGGAGTTCTTGTGCTTTCTCGTCTCGCAGGTTCTTATTGATCCTGGTGGAGCCTCCTGCCATGGTCCTGCTAGATTGCCATTGCTAATACTGTTGTTGCTGTGCACCTGTCTGTCTGTCTGTCTGTCTGTCTGTCTCTCTCTCTCTCTCTCTCTCTCTCTCTCTCTCTCTCTCTCACCCCAACTGGTCGAGACAGACGACCACCCACCTAGAGCCGGAGGATCTGTCCTAGGTTTCTGCCTTTTAACAGGCAGTTTTTCCTTGCCCTTGTCTCCAAGGTCTTGCTCATGGTGGTACTGTTGGGTCTCTGTAATTAATGTTATAAAGAGTTCGGTCTAGACCTGCTCTATTTGAAAAGTGTCCTGAGATAACTTCTGTTATGAATTGGCGCTATACAAACAAAATTGAATTGAATTGAACTGAATTGAATTATCTGTCTGTGGTCAATATGGCCGCACTGATGCTGAGCCAATAGAGCCGTCTGCTCGCCTGCTGGAGGAAGTGACACAGACAGTGTTTAAATCGCTCCCATCTTTGACCTGATTACACTCGTTTCCAGTCTGATCTGAAAACTTGAGGTTTTTGCAGAAAACAGCTCCGACTTTGTTTCTCTTTCTAACAGAAATATTCTCTCTGTTGCTGCAGTAGCTGCAGCTGGACCTTAATCTGTTTTCAATTATGACAGCAGCTAAGACACATCTGGAAAAATCAGCAAACTATGAACACGTAACAAAGTCTCAAAGCCTCCTGTGTAAAAAAATTAGAAAAATGTGTCGTGAGCGCCAAATCAGTCAAATCATCCAGTGGCAGCGATAGGAGACTTTCAGACTCGTGTCTCCGTCTCCGTCTTCGCCAACAGCGCTGATAAATAGAGCTGGCTCGGCTCAGATGGGAGCAGATTTCTCAAACACATCTGAGAGGCCGAGACGATTCTCTCATCATTCCTCTGTTTTCCAGCGTCTTTAATTTTTATCCTCAGCAGCCAAATTAATCACGCTGGCGTTCGGCCCCACAGCACGCCGAGTTTTCCGAAGGGAGCACTCATTTACACAGCTGGAGGAGTTGAACCGGAGTGCTCTAGAAAGACCACAGAGGTCACAGGGTCACAGTGGGGTTCAAGGGTCACGGGCTGGTTGTAAAATAACGCCTGACTCAAGGACACTAAAGGAGAAACAAAAAAACCTCTCAGTGGTTTAAAATTATACCTGGATGAGATTAAACAAGAATATATTTTAGTCAATACAAGAACTTTAAATCAGCTTCTCTATGTTACTTTAATTAAACTGTAGCTAACAGCGCCACCAGTGGTCGTTCATTAAACTGTAGCTAACAGCGCCACCAGTGGTCGTTCATTAAACTGTAGCTAACAGCGCCACCAGTGGTCGTTCATTAAACTGTAGCTAACAGCGCCACCAGTGGTCGTTCATTAAACTGTAACTAACAGCGCCACCAGTGGTCGTTCATTAAACTGTAACTAACAGCGCCACCAGTGGTCGTTCATTAAACTGAGCTAACAGCGCCACCAGTGGCCGTTCATTAAACTGTAGCTAACAGCGCCACCAGTGGTCGTTCATTAAACTGTAGCTAACAGCGCCACCAGTGGTCGTTCATTAAACTGTAACTAACAGCGCCTCCAGTGGTCGTCATTAAACTGTAGCTAACAGCGCCACCAGTGGTCGTTCATTAAACTGTAGCTAACAGCGCCACCAGTGGTCGTTCATTAAACTGTAGCTAACAGCGCCACCAGTGGTCGTTCATTAAACTGTAACTAACAGCGCCACCAGTGGTCGTTCATTAAACTGTAACTAACAGCGCCACCAGTGGTCGTTCATTAAACTGTAGCTAACAGCGCCACCAGTGGCCGTTCATTAAACTGTAGCTAACAGCGCCACCAGTGGTCGTTCATTAAACTGTAGCTAACAGCGCCACCAGTGGTCGTTCATTAAACTGTAACTAACAGCGCCTCCAGTGGTCGTTCATTAAACTGTAGCTAACAGCGCCACCAGTGGTCGTTCATTAAACTGTACCTAACAGCGCCACCAGTGGTCGTTCATTAAACTGTAGCTAACAGCGCCACCAGTGGTCGTTCATTAAACTGTAGCTAACAGCGCCACCAGTGGTCGTTCATTAAACTGTAGCTAACAGCGCCACCAGTGGTCGTTCATTAAACTGTAGCTAACAGCGCCACCAGTGGTCGTTCATTAAACTGCAGTCAGCGTCCTGTTTACTGTAAAATAACTGACAATCATATTTAGAATAACGTTACTATCTGCAATGTTCCTATATTTTATTTGGACCGTTAGCTCCATGCTAATAACTAGCTCGCTGTTTACAGATCAGCCATCAGCCAACACCACGAAGCAACCAACACCAGACCCACAATGCAACACCAAGATACAGCCAGCTGGACAACACCAGTTAGCTTAGCTACAGTTAGCTAGCTGGATGCCCCTCCCTCACATCACTCTTGGCTAATAGGAAGCTATCATTAGCTTTGTACCGCTACATCATTTATTGTTGGCTAACATCAACAGAATACATAAGTTAGTATCATGGATCACCTTAGCTGGCTTACAACCCGTTCACTCACTGCTCACAAACACTGATAACAATTAAATAAACAATTAGCTAACGATTGATATAGATTAGCTGGCTAATTAGCCAGCACTAGCTAACATAAAATTACACGTCTCAAATCTTTTAAGTACAGGACAGGAGGAAGTTGACCGAGACTTGCTCAACTGTTATTGGAGCACAGAGCACAAAGGAGCGGGGCTTATGAAGTATAGATTTCTTTGCTGTTATTTCAGAGAGCTTCTGGAGAGCCGCTGAAAATAAACCAGCTGAAATAGTTGGAAGGTCACCGAAACTTCTTCCATTGAAATCTGTTTTTTTGCTTTGCCACACAAATATTGATGAGCTGATAGAAGAAGAATGCCTGTCCTTACTCATAATTTATGTGCTCCTGGCTCATTTGGATGATACAGATTGAATTCCCTTCCGTTGAGAGGATGAAATCATCTCTTTCTTCCTTTTTTCCAGGACGCTCTCGGTTTCCTGTCGCGGAAAATAGACGCAGTGACGTCATCGTGCATTATTATCTCGGGTTTGACAGACAGAGGCCTCCCTCCCTCCTGTCCACCAACCTTCCTGGTAAAGATCTTAATTGAAACCAGAGGAAGTTCAAGAGTTGGTGCAGGAGGAGGAGGAAGAGGATGAAGAGGGTTTCTGATAACAGTGACTGTCAAGCTTTTAAAGACGTCTGCTCATTTTCAACACCTCCACGTGTATAATTCAGGACAGATTTCAAAGGGAGTTCGGCTGTATGTGCTCTTCTGTTCCCTCGAGTTCTGTCCAGGTCTGATTGCTCAGCGAGGTACACCTGACCTGGTGCCAGCAGGTAGAGGCTGTCGGGGGGTTTCTTTGTGTCTTCTGACTTTCTGCGTTTAGTCTTATTTAGTGTCTTTATGGAGACTAAACGTTAACAATGATCCATATCAGCAGTTTGAATCCAACTAAAAGCTCCCTGCACCAAACTCCCTCAATATCATCCATAAAGATACAGTGTATTCTGATCAATATCATCCATAAAGATACAGTGTATTCTGATCAATATCATCCATAAAGATACAGTGTATTCTGATCAATATCATCCATACAGATACAGTGATATGTGATTGGCTCATTGATATGTGATTGGCTCATTGATATGTGATCGACTCATTGATATGTGATTGGCTCATTGATTTGTGATTGGCTCATTGATTTGTGATTGGCTCATTGATATGTGATCGGCTCATTGATTTGTGATTGGCTCATTGATATGTGATTGGCTCATTGATTTGTGATTGGCTCATTGATTTGTGATTGGCTCATTGATTTGTGATTGGCTCATTGATATGTGATCAGCTCATTGATATGTGATTGGCTCATTGATTTGTGATTGGCTCATTGATATGTGATCGGCTCATTGATTTATGATTGGCTCATTGATATGTGATTGGCTCATTGATTTGTGATCGGCTCATTCATATGTGATTGACAGTACTGTTGCCGGGGGCATCGGACCCTCTCCAGTATTTGTTGTTGATCCCGTCAGTCAGTTTTGGTTCCACTGTACGGGAAGGTGTTCCCATTATTCCGTCCACATACCTGTGGGGAAAGACAGAATATCGGGAACGTCTGTGTGTGATTTAGTATTTTCATTCTTTATTTTCTGTGGGAACGTTGAGGAGAACCAGAATCTGGATTCCGGGCCAGAGGGGCTCTTAGAGGAAAGTCTGATCCAGGAGATCTTTCACTGATGGAGAGTAATTTATGTTTTATGGAATCCATTTTCCCTCCACATCTTCTTCAATTAGAGACTTTCCAATGTTTCCTTCAGCTCTCACAGAGCAATCCCAGTCTGTACATTCCTGTGGACTGGTTTTACTGGGCCCTGACTGACGTTACCGTGGCAACCACTAAAAGGCCTGTTGTGTCTTCTTCTTTCAGATCTTCAGCTCTGCTTCAACTTCGACACAAAGAACTTCAAGATCTTCTCTGGTTCCAAAGAAAACCAGTTTGGGTACACAGTCCAGCAGCACGAGGCGGGAGGACGCCAGTGGTGAGAATCCCAGTTCACTGATCATCCACCAGCTCCAAAAACCAGTCTGAACTGGTCTGTTTACATCTATAGAAACCAGTCTGTACTGGTCTGTTTACATCTATAGAAACCAGTCTGAACTGGTCTGTTAACATCTATAGAAACCAGTCTGTACTAGTCCGTGTAGATCTATAGAAACCAGTCTGTACTGGTCTGTTTACAGCTATAGAAACCAGTCTGAACTGGTCTGTTAACATCTATAGAAACCAGTCTGTACTAGTCGGTGTAGATCTATAGAAACCAGTCTGTACTGGTCTGTTTACATCTATAGAAACCAGTCTAAACTGGTCTGTTAACATCTATAGAAACCAGTCTGTACTAGTCGGTGTAGATCTATAGAAACCAGTCTGTACTGGTCTGTTAACATCTATAGAAACCAGTCTGAACTGGTCTGTTAACATCTATAGAAACCAGTTTGTACTGGTCTGTTAACATCTATAGAAACCAGTCTGAACTGGTCTGTTAACATCTATAGAAACCAGTCTGTAGTGGTCTGTAGTGGTCTGTTTACATCTATAGAAACAAGTCTGTAGTGGTCTGTAGTGGTCTGTTTACATCTATAGAAACCAGTCTGCAGTGGTCTGTTTACATCTATAGAAACCAGTCTGTAGTGGTCTGTTTACATCTATAGAAACCATATAACTATATAATCCATAAACAGACGTTAAAGAAACTACAGTAACTGGTGAGCGATGTGTTAAAATCCGACTGTCAGTAAAGTTTACAGGTTCCGACTGCAGACGTCTACGTTGTGATGTAATCTCAGTCTGTCATAATACAATAATTAATAAACTAACTAAATATTATAAACTCCGTTTTTAACACGGCTTTAAGGTGTCTGAACAGACAGCGTTCAGAGGCCTCAGTGAGTCTCAGGTCCAGGATCCTGCAGGTAGAGACGGACTAGATAACGTCTGTCAGAATAAAACCGCTGTTGGGTTTCAGGAGTTATTGGACCCTCAGGTTCTGTCATCGACCCGGTTTCAGGTTGTGGGAACGTGAGAATATTTCCAGGAAAGTTGGTTGTTGGTTCGTGTCCCCGTTGGGCTCACGGCTGTTAATCATGTTGAGCTGTCAGGATCATGTTGGGTCGACACGTTTTCCACCCCGATGTGTCGGATAAGTGGAACATATCTGTGCAGCGGCGGGTGGGGGGCGGCGGGGGTTATTTATCGTCCTTTCTGCTATAAATTAGGATTAGCTAATCTTGTTCTGATCCTATGGACACACAGCGTATTACTCACAGGTTCCTGGACAGTTTGTCCTTGGCACTGCAGCAGTCTGACTGTTTCTCTCTCATCCTTCATCTTTATGTTTCCAACCTGCTGCTGGATTCTTTAAAACCACCAGCTGCTTCTTTCTGCTGGACGGACGCTGAGACGAGATAATGTGAGGAAGTTAAATCAGATAAAGTTAGATAAATGAGATAAAATGAGATAAGTAGTAAATAAAAAAAAAACAGATGAGATGATTACCTGAGATAAAGTTGGATAAAAGAAGTTGAAGTGAGACGAGTCAAAATGAAATCAGTTGGGATAAACTGTAATATAATGATATTAAATGAAGTGAGATCAGATTAAATGAGATGAGATTGGATGAGATAAAACGGAGATTACAAGAGATAAGATGTAAAGAAATGAGATGTAATATAATGAAATTAGACGTGATTAGAAAATTAAATGAGATTATATTTGATTAAGTGAGATTAGAGATAAAATAAAATGAAATTAGATGAGATGAAGAGAAATCTGAGATTTGTTCATTTATGACATAAAATAAAAAATATAAATCTCTATTAGTTTGGCCCGACTGCTTTCACTCCAGTTAGTTTGAGCTCAAACTGATGTCTAATCTGATCTAATCTGATCTAATCTGATATAATCTGTGGATCATTTAAAGAGCAGCAGTAGAAACAAAGGTAAAATCAGTCTGAGGTTGTTGTCGTTTTATCGCCCGTCTGCGGCTGCAGGTGATATTGAGCAACATTCCCGGTTGTCCGTGTTGTTTTCCAGCCGGGATGAATTCCTCGCAGTCTTCCAGGATTACACAATCTCTCTCTGAAGCCTTTGAAGTTGCAGGTAAATAAGTGGAAAGTATTTGTTTCTGAAAGCAAGCGGCTTCTCCTGCATCCCGAGGCGGAGTGCTGGATCTGGAAACTATGTGCTGCGGTTTGTTATTCCCCAGCCTCCCTCTGGGAAGCCCATCGCCCCCCCTCCCCAGTGTGTGTGTGTGTGTTTAAAGGGGGGGGGGTTGTTTTTTTACGCAGCCTGGTGACATTTCAGGTGTCCATTATCCAGACAGACTCACTGTGGTGGAATAATCCTCGTCTTCTGTCGCTCATCCTTCGCTTTCATCCGTGATTGTTCCCAGGAATATTATTTGTTCCCATAAACCGTCAGGCTCCAGTGACCTCTGACCCCTGCCTCTCTACACACACACACACACACACACACACACACACACACACACACACACACACACTCCCTACAATGTTTTACATGTAATGACTTTTGACCAGTAATTTGTGTGTTTAAATTCACAAATTTTCACGTCCAACAAACATCTACAAACATTTTATTAACGTTTCCAGCAGAACTCACATAAAGCAGATATTGGGTTCCTTACAGCACAGTGAAGCATATGGAAGCCCATTAATGCCAAAAAGAAGATTCTGTAATTCATTATATTCAGAAACTTCCAACGATTAACTGACTTATTATCTCAAAGCCAAATATTTGCCCTTTAATCTGGTTTACGGCAGTTTGAGCCTAAAATAATCAGATATTTCTGTGGTTTAACGTCAATAAACGGATCAAAATGAGGCTGAAATAACAACATCATGATTCAAACTCTATCGGTCTGCAAGCCGACAAGCAAACAACTTCTTAAATGTTTGTTTTCTGAATGGAGTTTGGTTGATCGAGGCTCTGTTAGTAAAACCGATCTCTGGAATCAGTAACAGACACATATTTTCCATCGTCCTCTCTTCCTTCATTTCCAACACTCTCCCTTTCTGTCTGGTGAACCTCTGTAGCTCCCAGCAGACAGGTTGAGCAGAGCGTGAAGATAAATCTACTTTTTAATCCTAATAGTTAAAGTTATAAACTGTGTTTGTTGCTCCAGAAGCTCCGGCTCCAGCAGCTGTCTGTGGGCAGCAGCAGCTCCATCTTCCCCTCCACCTCCACACAGCAAACACCCCGACATACGTTCAGTATGTTCAACTCAAACTCAAAGTTTATTTGTGTCTATTCGTGTCTTTGCATTGACTTTGTGTGAAACCTGCTCACTCTTTGGTGGGAACGCAGCATCAGAGTCGAACCGAATCTCAGCTTCATCAGGCGCCGTCTGCCGTTACAGTCCGTCAGCGCCGGCCGAGAAGCATTAAGAAGAATAAATAAACCTTTGGAAAACTTTAATAAAACTGAAGTAGACCTCCGCGTTGAGCTGTGTGTGTTTGAGGATGTTGTTGATGTCGGAGGTCAAACCCGTTGACCTGTGCTGCCCTCCGAGGTCAAACCTCCGGCGGTGTTTGTGTAGCCGGCTTCATGCTGTGGGTTTGGTCTGCTGAAGGTTTCTCCTCTAAGAGTTAAACCACCGCTGCTAACGTGAAATTTGACTTTCTCGCAGCTTCATTGAGCCCGGTTCTGTCGCGGACTAACGGCAGATACAGTTAGCAGCGGTTCATTAGCGGTTAGCAACTTTAACAAGTAGTTAAACTTGCTGTCAAACTCTGTAAATCACCGAGAGAACACTAGCTAGTTGTGCTAAGTTGAGCTAACTAACAATTTATGTAAATTAGCTAACTAGTTAACTGACACTTTGCTAACAATAGCTTTCAGACGTAATTGATTTCCCAACAATTAACCTGGATTAGCTTGTTACCTAGCGTTTTGCTATAGAACAAAATGCTAGCTAACTAGTTATTTACATCAGTTGTTAGTTAGCTAACAGTTTTGCTAACATAAGCTTTTAGATGTAACTAGCTGATGATTGACGTAGATTTGTTAGCTAGTTACATTAATTGTTAGTTAGCTCGTTAACGTTACGTCTGATTCTATTCTTCTCTACTATTCTTAGGAAAATGCTAGTTAACTAGTTAGAAGACAAAAGGCTAGTTTTTATTGTTTTTCAGGAAACTCTAAAATACCAATAAAATACCTGAAAATACCTAAAACAGGACTTCCTGTCGGTGTTGGACAGACACTGGAGACGTATAAAGACAAAGGAGATAAAAACAAACTGGAAATCAGTAATTAAAAGACAAATAAGAGAATAAAGTGGAAGCAGGAGACGCAGGTAGTCTGCAGGTTTTCTAACACCTGCTGAGGACTTGATGGAGTGAGGTCAGAGGATCAGAGCAGGTTTCTGGCTGCAGGCTGCAGGATGTGGACTGTGTGGGATGTGGTTTCTCAGCGCTGCCCCTGTTTGATGTGGACGGCAGACGCATTAGCAGATTGGAAGTTAGCGCTCTACTATGGCATCTCCTCTGGAATGTGACTCAGCCTTCCTCTTCCCAGAACCGCCGTCCAGACCGCATGTGGTGGCGATTACTCCGGTTAACAACCCGCCCGCTGCAGCAGCAGGATCTGTGCTTTACATGACCGCCGCTGAAACTGAACTGACCTCTGTGTGCAGGAGGGGAAAGTTAATCATCACCAACTGCACATTAAAAGGTTTTATTTCCAGAGTATGAAATTAAAGCAGAAACAAATCTTTAAAAAAGTTTACAGAGTTTATTTCTGTATCATTTAAATGTATGGAAATATTAATAAAATTACAAACATATGAATTTACATGTAAAACATAAAATTACTGCTTATTTAAAGGAAAAAAAGAAAAAGTTATAGAACTTCAAATTAAAATAAGAAAACACAAATAATAGTGTAAATATCTTTAATTATAATTTATTTTATCCAAAATGTTTTATTCTCCGTGCTCTGTGTGTTCGTCACATGTCAAAGACATTTCCTAAACTGCATTTTCACCCTCTGGATGTTTAATCTGAGGCCTGGCGGGCTTTAAACCCATCCCTGTGTGTGTGTGTGTGTGTGTGTGTGTGTGTGTGTGTGTGTGTGTGTGTGTGTGTGTGTGCTTCCAGGTTGCTGGTTGGATCTCCCTTCGAGTCCACAGGGAAGCAGCAGACTGGTGATGTGTTCAGATGTCCTCTGGATGCCAGGAACTCTGCAAACTGCACCCGACTCCACCTGGGTGAGTCACAGCGGGCGTCTGTACCGAGGCTGCACACACAGATACAGACAGACAATAAAGCAAAATGAATATATTTACACATTAATTAATATCACATTCTCAGTCATATTCTACCTCTGTTTAACAATGAACGCTGCTGTGTGAGCAAGAACCATCCACCTCCACTGTGTGACGTTCACTGACTGTTTTCAATCAGGGAAACTTTCTCTGGACAACGTGTCCGAGAGGAAAGACAAGATGAGGCTGGGAATGACGCTGACCTCCAACCCGAAGGACAGCAGCTTCGTGGTGAGTGACACTAAAAACGCAGAGAAACCGCTTCCACGTCTGCTGCAACAACCTTTCACTTTCAACTGAAGGCTTAGTTTGAAGGATACTCGCCCTTTATGCTCTGTGCTCAATCACAGTTGAGCCTCAGTCAACTTCCTCCGTTCCTGTACTTAGATATGCTATATGCTAAGCTAATCTATGTTGGAAAGACACATTTTGAAGATGTTTCAAAGTTAAGAGAGATATCCAGTCACACCTTCAGTTAGCTGACGTTGCTCATCCTGCTGTCCTCAGACCTGTGGGCCACTCTGGTCTCATGAATGTGGAAGTTCCCTGTACAGCACAGGAATCTGTTCCAGAGTCAGCAGAAACTTCAGACTGTCCCACACCATCACACCCGCCCTGCAGAGTAATCAATACACATCCATCCACCCATCCATTAATACATTAATCCATTAATACATTAATCATCCATTAATCATCCATCCTGTATCTTGTTTTAGGATGTGAGACGTTCATGGACATCGTGATCGTTCTGGATGGTTCTAACTCGATCTACCCGTGGTACGAGGTCCAGGACTTCCTCATCAACATCCTGCACAAGTTCTACATCGGCCCAGGTCAGACGCAGGTGGGTTCCCCAGAGTCCTGACCCATCACCGTCACTCGGGATCAGCAGTGTCTCCTCTGACAGCTGTGTCCGTGGTCATCATCAGTTTACATGAAACCAGGGTTGGAACCGCCAATGAGGTCAAAGGTCACGTCTGTTGTAGTTTCCTGTCCCTTTAATTTACAGCCGCTGACCTTGTGACCTCGTTAAATCCCGACCTCACAAGTCAACACACACGTTAAGTTTCTTTTTGGTTAGAAACAGAACACAAACTCCACTCGTTAATATAGTTATAGAGACGTCACTAAACAAACCTCTCGATATCAGTCTGAGGACAAAGTAGAACACAAATTTTAACATTTAAAAATGTGAAATTTATCTAAAAATTTCCAAATAAGTCAATAAATTAATGATCAATAAAAACGTACTTTTACTAAATGTACCTTTTTAAAGGAAATTCCACTTTTAAAATTAACTAACTTTATTTTGTCTATTTTTAATATAATTGACCCTTCTCACATCTTAAGTTAGCTAATGTTAGCAAAGCATTGAATGGATAATCACAGTTGTTGGCGATTAATTTAACAGTTGACAGCAATCAATGAATCGATCAATCGATCAATCGTTCTAATTGTGATGAAGACCGTTGGTGCTGTGATGCCTTCAGGTGCAGCATTGGAGGTTTTTGAGCTGTGGTGTGTTTCGGCTGCAGGTTGGCGTGGTTCAGTACGGCTCCACGGTGGTCCACGAGTTCAGTCTGGGTGAGTACGAGACGGTGGAGGAAGTGGTGGAGGCCGCCAGGAGCATCGACCAGCGGGGCGGCGAGGAGACGAGGACGGCGCTCGGCATCAACGTGGGGAGGTACGACTCAAAACGTGACCCCCCTAAGTAATGAACCCCACAGAGTTCCCGACTTTAACTGTTCCTCCTCGCTGTGCAGGTCGGAGGCGTTCAGGCGTGGCGGACGGCCCGGCGCCCAGAAGGTGATGATCGTGATCACAGACGGAGAATCTCACGACAGTCCGCAGCTGCTGCAGGCCGTCACCGACAGCGAGAGAGACAACATCACCATGTACGCCATCGCTGTGAGTGCGTCCCCTTCAAATACCCCCCACTTCCTGTCTGGTCCTCAGACTTCCTCCTTCCTGTTCTTCCCGCCTTTCTCCGAGCTCCATCTTGTCTCTTCCAGGTTCTGGGTTATTACAACCGCCGGGGAATCAACCCCGAAGCCTTTCTGAAGGAGATCAAGTTCATCGCCAGCGACCCGGATGAGAAGCACTTCTTCAACGTGACGGACGAGTCGGCACTGAAGGACATCGTGGACGCGCTGGGAGAGAGAATATTCTCTCTGGAAGGTCAGTCGGCACGTTAATGGTGAAATGAAAGAAGTAATTTTAACTCTTTAAGATATATTGTTCTTATATTTAACAACGAATGTACAAGAACTCAATTTCTTTGTTTTTTGATATCAAAATGATGATGCTCAACTCCGCTAACTGCTAACTGAACGGGGCTCAGCAGCCTCCCAGTGAACACAACCTCAGAGACAGACAGACAGACAGACAGACAGAGGACAGACAGACAGAGGACAGACAGACAGAGGACAGTAAGACGACAGCTAACAGTAACGTTAGCTAACATTATCTGCACAAGCTAACATTAACCGACTTAGCCGCGGGGTGGCAATAAAACCACTTCAGTACTTTATTCCCTGTCGTCGATGATGATGTTTGTTTTGCAGGGACCAGCACTCAGGGTCGAGGCTTTGGTCTGCAGATGGCTCAGGCTGGTTTCTCCTCACATTTAGTCAAAGTGAGTAACTCTGATTCATATTTACTTTATTATACAGTCTGTTATTAGTTCAGGATTATTATTTTACACATGAGATTCTGTGTGTTGATGTCAGTGAAGCAGTCTGTGTATCTCAACAGCTGCTGTGGCAGTGGTGGAAGAAGTACTCACATCCTTTATTAAAATAAAATAAAGACTTAATTTTCAGTTATTTGGACTCTTAAACTGTATAGTTTTGTGTGTTTTACATAAAATAGTTAATAACTAAAAATAGTGTTTTCATTCAGCTTTGTTATAAAATATTGTGCATTGAGTCGTCAGGGCTGGAAGAGTTACTTTATCAAGATAATCATTTACAATTACTAATTACCTGTTATAAAATGTAGTCAGTATCCTAATCCAAATATCCAATTATGTTAATTATTAATATTTAATTAAATATTACTTTTGTTTGTAGAAGACTTTAAGTTTCTAGTTCTGTCAGGAGTCCAACAGAAACACAAAAGATCAAACTCAACTATCAGTGTTAAACATCAGGTATCGGTCTGGTCCTGGCAGCCGTCTGAAGTCTGAATAAGAAGCTTCTAGAAATATTTCTGTTGTTTCTCGTCCAGGGGAAAATCGCACTCAACTAAATTCCAACGTCAGGGAGTGAAAATGGTGTCGTGGAAACTTTCTATGTGTAACACAGAGCAGATGGTTTTCCTGAACGTAAAGCTGCCAAAGGAACACACACACATTCATACATCCATGAACCATCACACACACAGACAAATATGTGAAGTGTTTCCTGCTCTTTGGTTTCGGGATTAAAAGGTAAAAAAGGTGAAATCAGGTAGAAGTCAGCCTGATGTGGAAAACAGCTGTCGCAGTATCATCCTGCAGGAGCACCGTCCCCCTCGTCCTCCTGCAGGGTTACAAAGGCAGCGTTTAACTGCAGATCCAGAGTCACGTCCTGCAGGCAGGAGATGCTTTGTGGCGCCGGCGTCGCCAAGGATTGGGTCATCCACTGTGGTCCTCGACTCACTGGCCTGCAGAGACTGTGACTCAACACTTTAATAACTTTCATATCTGGACTTTACGACCGCCAGAGTTCATCTGACTGACTGCGCACACGTGTTGTGAGACAGTTCGACTGAGTTTAAGGACGATACTGAAGCTGTTGTTGTTTCAGAGACTGTAAATTATTATTATTGTTACCAGAAATGCTGAAAGAAAAACAGGATTTTTACTTAAAGTTTATTCTGTGAGTGTATTAACTGAACTGGAGACTGTGTTCTAAGACGGAGCTCAATTAATCCGAATAAAAGTTGCTCACTGAGCAGATCTTTAAAGCTTCTGTGTGTAACTGTCATTAAACTGTAGTTTACTGTAGCGCCACCAGTGGATGTTCAGTGAACTACAGTCAGTCAGCTCCAGGAGTCTGGATGAAGCTAGCTGACAGTATTTTGCTACATTAGCTAACCAGAAATTCGTCCATGTTATCCAGCTAAAAGCCCAATCAGACAATATGTTCCACAAGCTTTGCAGTAATGTGAGCTTTGACTTTGGACTCGTTGTGTTGTGGTGGGTGGCGGCCGTTTGTAAATGTAAGCTAACATTAGTTATCTAAAATCCGACCCTCTGGGGAATTCAGGTTACATTTCCACCCCGTTCACTCATTGGCTGAATCTTCCATATGGAAGCTTTTACGTCGTTATATGTGACATTATATTGATCTCCTATAAAATCGCTCTCTTTTGTCCTCAGGACGGCATTCTGCTCGGGGCGGTGGGCGCCTACGACTGGAACGGTGCCGTGTTGAAGGAGACTAAACATGGAAAAGTCGTCCCACCAAAATCCTCCTATAAGGACGAGTTTCCAGAGGAGCTGAAGAACCACGGCGCCTATCTGGGTAATACAACCTGTACTGTAGTTTGAGCAACCTCCTCTTTTCCTGTACTTAGATATGCGACATGCTAGGCTAATATATGTTGAAGACATTGTGAAGATCAGTCGGTCCATTTCTGTTTCTCTTCTGGTTTTCAGGTTACTCGGTGGGTTCGCTCATTTCGTCTCGCGGCTTTCAGCTCTATGTGGCCGGAGCTCCGAGGTTCAACCACACGGGGAAGGTCATCGTCTTCACCCTGAAGAACACCGGAAACCTGACCATCCTGCGGGCGCTGCTGGGAGAGCAGGTCTCACTCACACACACCTGTTCACTTTGATGGTTGTTCACTTTGAGTGTCCTTTGTCGCAGGTCCACTGCACAAAATGCAAAAGCTAACAGCTTCATACGCTGAGAACTGAACAACGTGTTTGGTCTACGTAACATTAACGTTGTTGTTGATGTTGTGGTTGGCAAATGAGACGGTGGCTGCTTTAGTTTAGTGCCTTAATTGGACCAAAAAAATGTGCATTAAGCTAATAGTTACGCAGGCGCTGGTTGCGTACATAGGCTCACCAGGAAGCGTCAATATGAAGAAAGGGTAGTCATGTTGACTCAGTACGAGTCCACTTCAGACCCTGGTTTTAGTTTCTATGCAGTTCGAGTCATCGCTTAAAACAGGAAGTTATGCGCTGTCATTAGCTGTTTAGCTGTTTAGCTGTTTAGCAAACTCCTCTAATATACAACAGTGAACTGATACAAACGAGTTTCTCATGTTTTGTTTTGGTCTTTTTCCAGATCGGTTCGTATTTCGGCAGTGAGTTGTTATCAATGGACGTAGACGGCAACGGACAAACGGACGTTCTCCTGGTGGCGGCGCCCATGTTCTACAGCCAGGGCTGGGAGAGAGGGAAGGTTTACCTCTACTCTGTTACCCCACAGGTACGAACACACCTGTTCAGTCTTACCGCAAAACCACACGTCATCATCACAAAGCTAAACTGAACCTCCTCCCTCCAGACGTCGTTCGTCCTGCAGGGGGCGCTGGAGGTTACCGACCACTCCCAGAACTCCCGGCTGGGTTCGGCGCTGGCTCAGATACCCGACATGAATGGGGACGGGTTCAGGGAGCTGGTGGTGGGAGCGCCGCTGGAGGACGACCACCAGGGGGCGGTCTATGTCTTTTATGGCCAAGACAAAACCATCCAGCACCAGTTCAGACAGGTAACAGAACCAGTTCAGACAGGTAACAGAACCAGTTCACACAGGTAACTGAACCAGGAACACAAATAATTCTCTCCCTTTCCTCTCCAGCGTCTGTCTGCAGCCGGGTTTTCTGCCGGTCTGCAGTATTTCGGCCAAAGTCTTCACGGTGTTTTGGACGTCAATGGAGACGGGCTCGTAGACCTCGCCGTGGGAGCGCTGGGAGCTGCTGTCATCATCTGGTCAGACCATCACACACACACACACACACATAAACTCCTGTGAATGATCCATCAGTGTACAGACTCACACTCAACCCACTTTAGCTTTAACCCTAAGATGTACTGAAGTAACCTGTAAACAGACTCAGTCCTGATGATGGTGTGCTCCCTCGCTCCAGGTCTCGTGGTGTGGTGCGGATTCAGGCCAAACTGACCTTTGAACCTGAGAAGGTCAACATCTTTAACAAAGACTGTCGGCGAGGAGGGAAGGAGGTCACCTGCATGTCTGTGACGGTCTGTCTGAGTCTGGACTCCAGGACGAAGACGAGGACGAAGAGCAGGACAGATGTTGGTATGTGGGAGGCTGACACAGCAGTTTCTCTACAGATTTATTGATTATTACAGTGACTGCAGATTCAATCCGACATCTGCAAACCAGACCGAGTGCAGGGATATTTTCACAAACAGGTCGGCTTCAGGCCCAAATTAATTACTGTTAAAGATTAAAGGTTCCATATGTAAGATTATGAGCATTATTATTTGATGTATTAATCACTTTTTATTGGCAATGAGTGAACGGGTTGTATCGTAACAACCTTCTCCGACTATCTCTGTTTCCTGTGAACTAGAGTCTAGCTGACTTTGCCACGTTAGCTAGCTAGTAATTTGTCTACATTAGCAAGCAAGGCTCTTGGCTAGTAGAAAACTATCGTAGGGAAGCTAAAATGAACCAATAAACAAATCTACTCAGATTGTATTTTGCTAGCGATAATGTAAGCCAGCAAGCTAACGTTTGTTGCCGGCCAAAAAAGTAACCTGCAAACAGCCAGAGAGACTGAAGCTAGCTGACAGTACTTTGCTATGTTGGCTAGAAAATCGTCTGTGTTAGCAAGCAAGCTAATGTTACCCAGCTAACAGCACAATCAGACAATATGTCCCACAAGCTTTGCAGTAATGTTAGCTCTGACTTTGGACTCTGTGTTGTGGACTCTGTGTTGGACTCTGTGTTGGACTCTGTGTTGTGGACTCTGTGTTGGACTCTGTGTTGGACTCTGTGTTGTGGACTCTGTGTTGGACTCTGTGTTGTGGACTCTGTGTTGGACTCTGTGTTGGACTCTGTGTTGGACTCTGTGTTGGACTCTGTGTTGTGGACTCTGTGTTGGACTCTGTGTTGTGGACTCTGTGTTGGACTCTGTGTTGGACTCTGTGTTGCCCACTGTTGGCACTTGGGAGCATAAAGGTCACAACCTTTGACCCTCATCCTACATAGAGACACATAGAGATCAGTCCACAGACAGCAGAGGGACAAAGCTACACTACAACCTGTTCACTCACTGCTGATCAATACACTGATCAATACATACAAATAAAATGTTTCACAATCTTACATATGGGACCTTTAACTCCCAGCAGGTTGTGGTTGAATTCAGCAGCGTCCACTGTAGAGAAGTGGAAGTTAATATTTAACTGTGTCTGGATAATAAATAAAGGAAGGAGTTTAATTCTAACAGCTGTCTGGTCTTCCAGCTGTGTGGACGTTTGCAACGAGAGCGCCAGATTCATCCAGATGTTTAGCGTTGCGACCGGCCGTATGTGGAAAGTCTTGTCGTGGTCTTTTGCTCGCAGCAGAGATTCCCCACAGTGCTTTGTGAGGCCGTTGTCGTGTCTCTGTGTAATTGGTCTCAGATGTGCGAGCCGGCTGCATGGAAACCTCGCTAACATGCTAACTCCAGCCAGCCACAGTTAAACCGTGTCACTCCTCCTCCCTCCATCACTTCATACCTCCCTCTCTTCTTTCTCTCCATCAACTCCTCATCCTCTCCCCAGATCATCTGGACCAGATTAGACACATACAGATGCACAGATGCACGCACACACACGGTATCGAACAAACACGCTTCAGTGGACGGAGAGAGGACATGGGTCTGAACCTCAGTTTTCAGATTTTATTTCTAGTTTATTCCTGAAAGTGCAGACGTGGCGTTTCTAACATGAACTGTGTTGGACCAGAGCAGCTTACCTCAGCTCTCTGTGGCTCATAAATCAAAAGTTCAGTTGTTAAACAGACGAGAACGAGTTCTGCAGTCCAACAGCTAATAAGGAAGCAGGAAATGCATCACTTTAATAATCAATGACAAAGAAAGTTATAACCCTGTTAAAAAAACAAGAGATTACATTACTTTTGTGTGTGTATTTTATTTGGACTCAACAGCAGAATTTAATCATTATGCCACGTAGTTCTTCTGTTAATCATCATCAGACAAATAGAAACTGCCACATCAACAGACAGCTGCTCCACACGACAGTGGTGACACTGTCAGACCTCTCGTTGTTGTTAAAGGACAAGTTCACATGTTTTCAGGTCTGTCTTAAAACAATACTCTTTAATAAAGGTAAAGGGATGTGTGCCAGCATTATCTACAGCACTGACCTGTGCCCTGTATCTACAGCACCATACTCTGCCCTGTATCTACAATACAGACTTTTGACCTGTATCTACAGCACTGACCTGCAGCTAACTGCGAACTGTAAATGTTCTTTAATAGAGAAGATTTTTTTTTCAGTGTTCGTGAGCAAGTGTTTTCCTTTTTTCCTAGAGGCAGTTCTCCTGGAAAATGTCCTTGAAAAGTCCTGGAAAATGATTCCTTGAAAAGTTTGGGACTGTGTTTTTTAGTCTTGTAGTCTGGTTCTTTGATGATTCTCTACGAGCTTCTGCTTCCTACATTTCCTGTTAAAAAAATCCTGGTGGTATAGGAAGCAGTACTATGCAACTGTAACATCTCTGGTTTGAGTCCAACCAAGGACTTTTCTTGCATGTCAACCCCTTTTAAAACTTATTAAAAATGCATGAATGTGAAGTTGGAAGCAGAGAAAATATGATGTATTACTGGGAATTGGTTATGTAATCTTGTTACGTCCAATAGGGGGAGTCTGTAACAATAGTGGATGGAAACATTTACTTTAAGTTTTACTTTGCCAACTTTTCAGAAAATGCCTTGAAACTCAAACATTTGGAAACATAATGAACTCAACAGGTGATATCACTTGCTTTTATATCACCTGAAAGACCTGTAAAGTCTGTAATCTTGAGCTGGATAAGACTGGATTGATTTGCCTCTTTTAAGCCCTCTTCCTCCTTCCCCTCCTCCTCCTCCTCCTCCTCTTCCCAGCTGCTTGGTACAGTCTGCTGCTGGATGAGAGGCGTTTTCCTCCTCGAGCTGTTCTGGACGAATCAGACCGACAGCAGCCTAGGACTCTGTTCCTGCAGGCCGGAAGGCAGAGCTGCCAACGCCTCGTCTTCTCCATCCAGGTCAGACTCAGCCTCCCTCCCGTCCCCAACACACAAAACAAACATGAAACAATCCAAATCTCCCAGCAAGCAAAAAGTCGAATACTTGAATACAAAACATACGTCACTCACATGTTTCTCTGAACAGGAGACGACAGATTACGGACGTCCCATCGCAGTTGTCCTGGAGACAGGGTTGCAGAGCCCAGACGAAGGGCCGGTGTTGGACCCGGACTGGCCGAGCATCGTGAGGACCGAGGTGAAAGAGTGATAAGTTTGGCAATGTTGATTTTGTTGTTTTATGGTGGTGATTTTTATAGATGTGTCACACTTAAAAATACACCAGCAAGCAGGTATTAACGAGGTCCTGAATCTTAACAAATATTTGTTATTGGATGGATCGTCATGAATGCCCCTTTTGGTTATGAATGAATGTTTGTTTCTTGCCGTAGCTTCCCTTCTGGAATGGCTGTGAGCAGGAAGATACCTGCGTTCCCGACCTCATCCTCCACAGTCACACTGACCTCATGGATGTTCAGTAAGTAACACCTTCATAAACAAACAAGTGTGTTATTATCATATGTCTAATGCAGGAAATTGTCTCTGTGTTTCACCTGAAGGCAGTTCTGCAGCTCCAGGGACCGGGCCGCCTGGGCACTCTGCAGCCATCAGGGGGCGTCACAGGGCTCAGTGTACGTGGTGGAGAGCGGGCGGAGGAGGATGGTGGTGTTTGCCCGACTGGAGAATCAGGGAGAGAATGCCTATGGAGCCGCCATCCACATCTCCACCTCCTCCAACCTCCTGTTCTCCAGCCTCATCGTCAAGGTGAACCAGAAATAATATGACATTTTAAAAATTAAAGATGTAATTGTTTTGGATCAATTCAGCAACAAGTGCAATATCTCATTAGGCTCCTCCCCTTCCCCACAGGACCAATCTGATATTCAGATTGAGTGTTACTCCGAGGACAGGCTGGCCAATCAGAGGAGCTGTAACATCAGCGCTCCCTTCATGAAGTCTTTGTCCCAGGTTGGTGCTGCATCCACAAACTGCGACTCAATGAGTCAGTACGAGGTGGTGTTCATCAAACATAAAAACAAACATAAAACATAGAGAACAAAGTGAAACGTCAGTTCACAGCTAGTGATTATTAGACCATCATACAGCTGTTATACAGTCAGACTAATGATAGTCATTAAACAGAGCGGGAATACGCTGCGACCGACAGCCACTGACTGAAATCCTTCATTAGCCTAACGACCGTCCTGTAAACATGATCACGGCCCCGCCCACCACTGCCTGGCCCCCGAGGGCCCGCTTCACAGAGGCCTGTCTGAATACAGTCCAGTTTATTGGTCCAGACTGTGGTGTAGATTATTGTCGGCTTCCTCTTAACGAGACTGTTGGATCAGGTGAGACGCAGCCGGAGGGAAAGGCATGAGACACAGCTTCAGTCTGAAGATCTGCAAATCCTCAAAAACAAAACGCTTCACGTGTTACAGCAACATGTCCGTAAACGTTCTCTATGTGACTGTCATTAAACTGTAGCTAACAGCGCCCCCAGTGGCTGCTCAGTGAACTGAAGACAGCGTCCTGTGTACACAGTCTGTAGCCGCGGGCGAGCATCATCCTGGGGTAGCTTTGTACTAGTAGAAAGCTATCGTTAGCTTTGTACCGCTACATCATTTATTGTTGGCTAAAATCAACACCGTTTGTCAGAATACAGAAGTTAGTATCATGGATCACATTAGCTGGGGAAGCTAAAATTAGCCAACTTACATATCCACTCAGATAATATTTTCTAGCAATAATGTTAGCAAGCAAGTGATATCAATAGATTATTATGCATTAATGTAAAAGCTGGATTTTACTGTTTTAGTTGGTTGAAAAAATCTAATCTATCACTTTGATTTGGAGTAGAAAATGTCATGAAGAGAAAATACTAAAGTAGTACTAGTTGTACTGAATAAATGTTAAATTGAACCACTGCTAATATATATATATATCATATATATATATGTATATAGCAACTAAAGGCTGTCCAGTAATTTAATCAGATAAAATGTTGTTTCAGTTTTTATTTTGAAAAGCAACCTGCTCTCTTCCTGTCCAGGTATCTTTCCGTCTGGAGTTTGAGTTCAGTCGTTCTGTCTTCCTGGATCACGTACGTGTCGCCATGGCGACCACAAGGTGAGACATCTGATGTCAATACTTGATTTTTTTCAAATATCTTTAATAATGTGATGTATTTCCTGTTGAAACAAGAGGTGTTCAGACGGGATTTAATTCACACAGGGATCTTTTTAAAAGTTCAAACCAACAAAAGGTTTAGTCTGAATGAATGAAAGGATTGTAAATTCTGGTCGGGCTTACAAACGGTCGATTAGCTGCCAAGATTAAATCTATATTATTTTATAGAGTTGCCTTTTAGACATTTTTGTTTACTTGTCACTTTTTCTGTGTTTTAGGGTTAAAATTACTGAGTTACAATCAGGGTTAGAATAAAAGTACAAATATGTTTCTGTATGTAATCAGACATAATCTCAGTTACATTGTGAGGACTCAGCTTCCATATGGGGACATGTAGCTGGTACTCACAATGTGGGGACCTCACTCCCATATGGGGACACCAAGCAGGTCCATTAAAGGTGAACCAGTACATTCAGGGTCTAAGCTTTAGTTTGTGTTTATAGATTATAGATTAGATTCCAGGTAATTAATATAAATCCTCACAAGTCTGTCTGTGTGTGTTAATCAGTGAGGGAGAAGAGGGATACCCAGACGACAACATCAATGACATCTTCCTCCCTCTGAAGTACCAAACCGACCTCCTCTTCACCAGGTGAGTGGCAGTGAAATCATTTTATTAATCTTCCTGGCAATAATGCTGTATAGTTTATTATATATTTAATGAAAGAAACTCTGCCTCTCTTCTTCCATCAGAGACCCCAACCCTCCTCGATTTGAGATCAAAGCAGACAGCTCTTCTTCCTCCTCCTCTTCATCCTGGGACCAACCAGGCAGCAGCTCTCCCACCTTCAACCTCACTTATTATGTGAGTTACAACAACACAATCTTTTTCAGGGACAGTTAAATTCAAAAAGACACAAATATGAATTTCACCTGCCTCTAGATATCAACCCAGACTTCACTGACAAAATCAGTCATTTTTATTTTTACCTATAATCCCTAAAACACAGTTCAAAGTGGACAGAAACAGAATAAAACCGTCTTTATAAAAAATTTAAAATATTAAAAATATTCAATTTCCATTTTCTATTTCATATAACAAAAAATAAAATCACTAGAAAACAGAAACGGAAAAAAGTCCTGTTGTTTCATATTCTGAGACCGGATGTTGTCATTTACAGGACGGTGCTGTGTAGAAGAAACAGTAGGCTAGTAGACTGCGGTTAATCCAGCCGTTACTCCGATCTCCGTGGTCAAATTAGCCGCACTTAAATTTCGAGTGTACAAGTATTCTCAGCATTATGGTAAATGCGGAGAAACAGCGTATTTACTTCCGGTTTTCAAAATAAAGGTATTTAGAACAGTAAGCTATAATGCGAACCTACATTTAAAATAAAATATGTTACATTAAAGCGTTTCATGCGCCCCTGATGAATAAAAAACACATTATATCAAGTATCTTTACTGCACCAGTGTGGAGAAATGCCAAAATAAAAGCCTCATATTTATGCCTCCAGAGATTGCATATTTGACCATATTTGAGGTACTGTAAAAACATATTGCTCAGTGTTTCCTGGCTACTGACTTTTACACATATGAGACTACAAGCATACTTAATATCAAGTATTTTTACTGTACCAATTTGGAGAAATTCAACAATAAAAGTCCCATATTTGTACCTCCAAGTGGCATATTTTCATATATTTGAGCTACTGTAAAAACATATTGCTCAATATTTCCAGGCTATGGGTGAAGCATTTTCATTATACAATAATGATGAAAATATTTTTTTAAATTTCGCTCATCCCTTTTTGACCATGAAAAAGAAAATTGTATTTCAATTTTAATTTTTGTATTTTAAAACGAAAATCAAATAACCACCGTTTTCTGTTTTTTAATACCCGTTACTGAAAGGAAAATCCAATGACCAAAACATACACGGACCATTAATTCACCGAGACATAGATGATGAAGTAGCTGCATAACGGGTCACTGATCTTACTCTCCATTTTGTCCAAATCATCCAAAACAGGACAAAACCCTTTAATGTGCATGAGCGAGGAATTCTGGGAAATGTAGGAAACAATAACAGTATAACTGGAGGAATGTCTTTGAGTGTGTTTTTACTTTGTGTTCAGATCCAGAACCTGGGAATCTTCTCCGTGCAGGACCTCCTGTTCAGGGCTGATATCTGGGCTGTGACCCGGCAGGGGAACCAGCTAGTGAACGTCACAGACTACAGCATCGAGCAGGTACGAAGAGCAAATACGTCTTAAAAAAGGACTTTATATATAAAAACATACGACAGTCACACCTGAGGCTCCTCCTCTTCCTCTCAGCAGGTCGCTGGGTCTCACTGCACGTTGCCTCAACCCAGAACAACCAATCAGGTCACAGCTGAGGACCTGTCTCACCTGTCACAGCTGGTAAGACTGAGTTAACTGAGAGCGAGTCCGGAGAAACGTCCAGGAATCAGATTTTGTTTTCTCCTGTCAGAACCGCAGTACCAGCACCAGCATGGCGGTCCAGTGCAGACTGAACCTGCCGGCCTCCAGAGAGCTGAAGGTGACGCTCAGAGGAAGACTGCATCTTCCCACTCTGCTCGCCGTGAGTCTCCAAGGAATCTCAGTTTCACTTCAGTCTTTTGCTTTTTAACTGCGTGACAATCAGACGACTGACGACCTGTTTCAGGTGAGCTTCAGGTCTTTGGAGTTGCTGACTGCTGCCTCCGTCCAGCTGGAAGCGTCTAGTCCGATGTTCCTCCAGGAGGACAGACCTGTCCGACAGGTAAAACTCTCACCAACAAATCATTTCTGCTCTTAAAGTCCAAGTCCATGTTTCATGTTCCAAAGTTTATCTGTGCTCATCTGATTTTAAGGGGCTAGGTAACAATGGATGTAATGAGCTAACTAACTAGCTGATCTACATCTATTGTCTTTTGCTCACATTAACTTTCAGATGTAACTAGCCGACATTGATGTAGATTCGCTAGTTTTGCTGATTAAGATGTCTTTTCCACATAGATTAGCTTAGCACATAGCATATCTATGTACAGAAGATTGATGTAAATAAGCAAACCAGCTAGCTGTGTATAACTCAGTTCTTGTTCCAACAGTGTGACGTTTGAATGACGTCTGTGCAGTTTGACACCAGAAGGATGTTTTAACATTCGTCTGCTGAAAGTAAAAGTTTCTATGAGCTCATTGAACATCTGATTTTAGGGGGCGTGGCATACAAGCATCATCTGTGACATCACGAACAGTAGGAAGTGAATTGTGGTCCAGTATGCAGCTCATACAGTGAGATCCAGCAGTGCTCAGACAGACGTCAGTGAAGGAGGAGACATCTTGTGTCCAGCAGGAAAACTTTAGAAATGAACATTTGCATATTTATAGATTCTGAAGTGTTTAATGAGGTAGAAGATTCATTTTTAAGGATTTTAATGTGGAAATTATTATTTTATTGTTCCAGTCAGACTGTTTGTACATGTGTCTTAATACACGCTGGAGGAAATCTCACATATCATATCAACTTTTTATTAATGTTTACAGTAAAGTCTGTAAATAAGGATTAGACTCAGTGTTATTACACTGGATGTGGAGGTTTGCTGCCCTCTGCTGTCAGAAGGTATTATTACTGTATGTATCTTAATATCTGAGATTATTTACAGGCAGTGATGTGTTTGATTGATCAGAGGGAGAAGAAATTAAATGCAGTCAGTGATGATATGACTGTTTTCAGATAATCCTGGAGCTGAGGAAGGAGGAGGATTACAGCGTCCCCGTCTGGATTATACTGGGGAGCTCACTGGGAGGCCTGCTGCTACTGGCCTTACTGGTCCTGGCCCTGTGGAAGGTACAAACACCTCCCACTCACACTCATATGATCAATGTGTAACTTATTTAAGGTTATGTACGTTGGAAATGTCCAGTGTGTGTTGGCAGCATTTAGGTGTTAACTTGCAAACACATTTGCATACTATCATAATCAGCTATATGGACAATATTTCAGCAACTGCTTGTCTGATTTGGACAATATAGGAGTGGTTTATTGGGGATGCTGAATCTATTTCTGACACTTAAATAATACAACATGGATGTTTAAACTGGAAGTGGCCATATTTCAACTCCCAGTGGGCCGACTTTGATGATTTTGAGGTTATTTATATTACATGTTATAAAACAATCTGACAAATTGCTGCACAGCAGAACTTTGGAGAAATATTACATCTTGTTTTCAAAATGCAGGTCCAGTGTATTTATTAATGGATTCAGCTTCCTCAATAACCCACTCCTATATTGTCCAAATCAGCCAAGCAGGTGCTGAAATATTGTTCATATAGCTGATTATTAATGCTAATTATGCTAATCATAACATTTGCCAGCTAGAATTCGGCAGTTTATGATGTCCGTGAGGTTTAATGTGAGTTCAGTGAGCGTAGATCGATTTCACACCATAAATCTGTGTCTGTTTTCTGCTCAGCTCGGCTTCTTCAACAGACAGAGGAGACAGGAGGAGGAGGAGCAGCCTGTAGCCAATGGGAAGGCGGCAGAGGAGCTATAAAGTGTGGACGACAGCGATGCTGAGTTCAGTCGGTCCTCGTCAACTTATAAAGTCACAACATCAGATCAGTAAAGGTTTGAATCACTGACTTGTTACAGGCACTTAGAGACACAACGGGACCATTAACTGTGGGACCACTTCCTGATGGTGACTTCATGGGTTGATGAGGATCACCTGAATGCATCACGAGCCTCCACCTGTCACTCAGGGACCCTGATGCCCCGCCCCCCAGCCAGAGGCTCTACCAGTTACAGTGAGCCAATCAGCCAATTAATCAATCACTCAGCCACGTCCTCAAACCATGTTCTAAGTAAGCAGAAAGTAAAAAAACTCAATTACATGTTAAAATCTTACTTAAAGCTCCCGTATGTAACGTTCATTAAACTGTAGTTAACAGCGCCACCAGTGGCCGTTCATTAAACTGTAGCTAACAGCGCCACCAGTGGTCGTTCATTAAACTGTAGCTAACAGCGCCACCAGTGGTCGTTCATTAAACTGTAACTAACAGCGCCACCAGTGGTCGTTCATTAAACTGTAGCTAACAGCGCCACCAGTGGTCGTTCATTAAACTGTAGCTAACAGCGCCACCAGTGGTCGTTCATTAAACTGTAGCTAACAGCGCCACCAGTGGTCGTTCATTAAACTGTAGCTAACAGCGCCACCAGTGGTCGTTCATTAAACTGTAGCTAACAGCGCCACCAGTGGTCGTTCAGTGAACTGCAGTCAGTGTCCTGTTGCATCATCCTGGGCGTCGGCCAACAGAGACAAACACTGAACGCTGTAAAATAACTGACAATCATATTTAGAATAACGTTACTATCTGCAATGTTCCTATATTTTATTTGGACCGTTAGCTCCATGCTAATAACTAGCTCGCTGTTTACAAATCAGCCATCACCACGAAGCAATTATGTTTTCATCATGAATGTCTTTAGATTGCACTGAAACCTGAAGTCGATCCAATCAATTCCCCAGGAGTTTGTTAAAATACAGCACATGAAAATGACAAAAACTGCATACAACTTGGTCAATAAATCAAAATGGCTGACTTCCTGTTGGGTTTACGATAAGGCTTTTTTGTAGGTCAGGACACATTTTATACACCTACCGATTTTGCGGCTGACGTTCTGTTATAGTAATAATCTGCATTAAACTCTCTGTCCAACCATATGATGATGTCATGATGTTGCAGTTTATTGATGCGATTTCATAAGAAAAGAAAAAAATGAGACCTGTTAAAATAAAAGTGATAAGTGTCTTTTACACTGTGTCTGAGGACAATAAGAGACAACACGAGACTACCTACGGCTGATTTTCCTCTTTTATACTAATGGAAATTGTAAATGCATCTTACGAACACATATTGTATATTATTTCTAAATTTATATCTGATGCACTTTTTTTGTATAAAGTCAAACTTGAACTTTTTTGTAAATATAAACTTGTGTATGAATTAATAAGGATAGTGGCATTATTGTTTCTGCAGTAGAGTTTCTACAGTGGATGTACGCCTTGTTCACTATTTGTGTTCATATTGGAATAAAGAATAAAGAAGAAACGTACACGTTGTATGTTTTTACTCTTTTTGTGATTAAATGTTTCACTTTTAGGGAGCTTGTCTTCCATCAGTTCTTTCTGCTCACGCAGACGAGACCTGACCTTGTCACTTTGAGTTTGTTGTAAAGAGAGACGGCGACTGCATATTAAGGACGAAAATCTCATTAAAATCAAAATGGTTTATTCCTCAGAGTGAGTCGATGTGATCAGAAAACTTCACTGAAGTTGAGTTCTGTTAAAGTTCAGTTTCAGAGTTTCATCCCCCGACTGAAGAATGTGATGATTTCACAGCAGTCGCCTCGTCGTGGTGCAGAAAGTGAAGAGAATTTTTTGGACGATGAGATAAAATCCAAAGTCAACGCAAAGACACAAATTGAAATTCGTGGGGCTTTTGCAGTTTTATGTGAGGAGGGCTGGAGAGACCGCTGCTAATGTTCCTGTGTGACGTCAATGTAAAGACTTGAATTTTTGGGGGCTTTTTTCCTTTATTAGATCGGACGGCTGAAGATAGACAGGAAAGGGCCACAGGTCGGATTCGAACCCACTGCCGCTGCATTTTATGAGCGTTTTGAGCGAAGAATTTGTGTATCGCAGGGCTCTCGGGAGCGTGAATATCCACTTTATTAATTACACAAAGAAGTTTTGGGCCACAACTTGTGGTGAACACAAGTTTTAGTGGAGGGAATGTTTTGTACTGAAGGTGGCAGTAGAGGAACCGGTAAGCTACAGTAAGAAATTATTATTATGTGGTAACCATGAACACAACAGCAACCTTCATGTCTGTGCTCTGAGAGAGCTTTAAGCTTTTTTTATTATCTACCCTAGTTTTTACCACTTTTGTTCAAAGATATGATATTTTGTGTTGAAAAATATAAAGTTTTCTTGTAGGAGGAACCACAAACCCACCAACACATATGTGCACAAAGTCTCCCACAAACCTGGAAAAATGCTTTAAGTTAGTAACAAAAACATCTGTACGAGTATCAGATGAACTTCATCAGAGATATATTACATTTAATAAATACTTCTCTATTATGATCAAAAACATTCCTCAGAAGTTCAATAAGGCTGTAAATATTTTCCCTATAAATACTTCTGATCAATCCATTGATCAGTTTCAGCCTTAAATAAACAACTTATAGTTAGCCCCGCCCATTCTGAGTACAGATAATAATACCGATGAACACATGAATATGTACTCGTTCATCCCTTAATTCAGACTAAATCACCCGTAAATAAACAACAGAACACAAGTGAATGCAGACAGAAGACTTTTAATTTGAAAGCTTTCATTCTGCAGGAAGTTCACCACAGCTGACATCTTTTAAAAAGTTTCCCCAACACATGAAGAAGAGAATCTTTGGCTTCATTTCAGCCAAACTTCCCACTTCCATCAACACACTCCCGCGCTTTTAAATAAAAAATAAAATTAGCACTCTGAATGGCACATTATCATCATCATCATCATCATCATCATCACCACCAAACCCCTAAAACCTGCAGGCAGAACTCCCCCCCCCCGCCCGCCTGTAATGCCCGATCACATGGTTAACAACAACTCTGAGCTCTGCTGGACAGATTATTGATTAGTGTGACACTTTAAAATTAGTTTTCCTCGACCCGATGATGAGATACTCACGACATCGGCTGCGGCCACACCAGCGTCTAATGAAAACCGAACGCCGGGATTCATTTTTCTTCTACAGCTTCAATAGGTGTTTATTTTAGAGTCCCACTGCAGTGAGCTCAGAGGACCCTGCAGCTTCAAAAATACAACGAAAACACATCTTCAATCTAATTACTGCAGCAACAGCTCGGCCACAGACGATAATTTAATCAACACAAACCGGTCCTGATGTTCCCTCTTTGTGTTGAGGAGCCACCTGTGGCATCATCCGTCCGTCTGTTACATAAAACATGCTAATGCAAGCTAATTATTATTTTCACTGTTTTAAATCTGTGGAGTTATTTCTTTAGTCTGTAAAATGTAGAAAAATAGTGAAAAAAAAGTTCACTTCTAAATTCGGAGAAATCCCCTTATTTGTTTTTCTTATTTTCAAAATAGAAAATAAAATCGGAAAATAAAAACAGATTTTTTTGTCATTAATTTATGAATCAAACACAAAAAGAAATTTAAATAACAACTACCGTACTTTCTATTTCATGCTCAAGTCAGAACTAGGAAATTAAATAACAGGCAACAGACCAAAATTGATGCATTAATGTAAAATTAACGTATCCACTTTGCGTAACCAGAATGTTCGGCTACTCACTTCATCGTGTCTTGCACTTGGCGGCCCAACATTTGTGTGATGGCGCGCCCCGATTTAACGTAATAAATATTACTCGAACATCAATAAAAGTTTTTTTAAACAGGTATTTTGGACAATGTCACGTTAAAAGTCTATCTAACGTTGTATCTAACTGTTATTGGAGCACAGAGCACAAAGGGGCGGGGCTTCGGAAGCATCAATGTCACTGGTGTATGAAGAGAGCACATGATCAGAGCTGATAAAGAGTTATTAGACATACTGACTCACAGACCTGAGACCTTTGGCAACACAACAGGACCCAACTGAGAGCCCATTAAACAGAATCTGTGGACCTGTTCAGACCTCTACCTTCATGTTTTTCAGACACGACGACCAAAGCTGAAGCTGCTGCAACCCGACTTCACTGTTTATTTAAAAAAAAAAAAAAAACTTAAAAATGTGGATTTCTGGGAGAACATTCGTTATTTCTGTTCTTATGTTTACATTTCAAACTAAAAGCCCATCTGCCAGCATCTACAGAATCAAAACAATGGTACTACGTTCAGGGAATATTTGGTTTGTATTTTTAAAGATTAGAAAAAGTGCACTACATGGCCAAAAGTATGTGGACAACCGCTGTGATAACAGCCTCCATCCTGTCCTGTGAAAAACATACATCTCCAAAACGGAGCGGTTTGTGACGATGCACTTTTCAGGTATGTTGAAACAGAAAAAGGACAAACTGCTGCCACATTGCTGGAAGGACACATCATCTAAAACAAGTGACTGTTCTCTAATAATTACTTTTTTCTTGTGAAATTCTAGATTTTAGTTTTACTATTTGGAGCCACTAAATATTGGTATAATTAAACTGTTTGTAGTTTCTAGTCTTGAAACAGACATATTAACCCTGTGACGACGGGAGTCACGAGCCAAAAACATTTGGTACCAGAGGTCTAAAATATCATTGTAAGGTGTCCAGTAGGCTAAATTGTTTTTCCCAGGGTGGCGAAGTCATGACCTGCTCTGACTGGCTAGTCCTCGTTGCCTCCGTTGGTTAGGTTTAGGTTAAGTCTATCACAGTCCTAATCCACCAACTAGGAACCGGCTCTGTTCTGATCTGGGCGTATTATTCTACAGGTTGTTTTGCAACGCCCTCTGTTGACGGATCCTTGATTACAATTCAATGCACTGATTGGTTCCACTCAAAACTGGTAGAAACATTTGCAGATTCACCAGTTAGCACCAAGCTGCCAAGAATCAGAGCTGATTTGGTGGAAAAACACTACCAGAGAAGAAGCGACTTCGCCATCCTGGAAAAGAACAAAAACAAACATTATTGTGTCGAGTACGGGACCAAAATCAGGAAAAATCCATCCCAACAAAAAGTACAAAGCATGCGGATGGGTTCGTCCGCACACTTTGGGCCATGTAGTGTAGTTTCAGTGAAACGGGCCCACAGAAAAAGTATTTTCATAAAAACATAGAAATTTTCCGATACCACCTTTTCCTTCTCGATACCGAGACCGATCCGATACATGTCCGTTAAACAACAGATAGACACACATTTTTTAAACAAGCTTATACCAAAGCCTGTACCTTGTGAGGTTAAACCCTCAAAAGAAAAGCAGACTTGCAGAGGACGTAGCACGGACCCAGTTCGGGGCTAATAAATTATGAGGCGTCAGATCGGTGCACAAACCACATTTTAGGCAGCATCGGAACAAATCTACAAACCCTTTAAAATAAACTTATTTTCAAATATAACGAACTTAAAAACCTGATGGTTTGTATAGATTCTGTCCAGCAGTCAGATCGTGTGTCCTGTTTCTCAGCGGTTCATCGTTACAGTAAAAACTAAACCCAGTGAAAACCATTTCTCATGTTAAAAAAAATAATCAGTGCATGTGGCGGCTGCTCTGTGGGCGTGGAGAGCGGTCGAGGTCGGTTGTCTATCGGCTGCTCTACGTTCACTCACTCGCTCATTCACTCAGACCGTAGAATCAGTCACATGGCGGCTCCCGCGGCGTGGAGATAAGGCAAAACAAGAAGCGGCACGGTGATGTCACTGCGGTCCTCTCTCTGCTGCAGGCGGCGTGAAGTTTCCTCTGCAATGAGCCAGAGACACAGACCGACCGCCGTCTGTCGCTGCTGGTACTTAGCAATTAATACTTAAAATAGAAAAAAAAGCAACCCACTTTTTTTTTTTTTATAAAAATGCTCAAAAACTTTGAGTACTGAACCATCGTCCTTCAGCACCGTTTGGATTCGTTAGAAAATTATAAGAAATTCTTTAAAAACAACAAAGAGTCCTTGATTCCTTCAGCTCTCAGGTCCGTTTCAGTGGAACTCCACGAACTCCTCCAGCGTTTTGGGGATCTGGTTGCGGTAGGTGATCTGGTGCTGACCGGACAGCGCGCGCCGCCAGGCACTTGAGGCTCATCTTCATCTGGGTCTTCAGCAGGATCTCCGACACGCCGGTGGTGCTCTTGTCCAGCGGCGTCTTCTTCTGCTTGTTGGTCATGTCTGTGTGGGCGCCGGCCTCCACCAGGTTGATGATGATGGCGTGCAGCGTCAGGAAGTCGCTGATGGGCCGGTTGTACTGGACGATGACGTGCAGCGGCGTGTTGCCCTCGTTGTCGACGGCGTTGACCTGCGCGCCGCAGTCCAGCAGCAGCTTGGTGACCTGGGCACTGGGGAAGCTGCACACGTCGTTGGTGTGGAAGTCGTCGACCGGCGTGCTGGAGCTGATGGCGAGGTGGAGCAGAGAGGAGCCTTCACGGGACCGCGGGTCCAGCTGGATCAGGTTGTAGATGTGCTTGTTGATGCGGGCGCGCTCCTCGTCGCCACAGGTGGTCTTGGTGGAGATGCAGGCGAGGTACAGGAAGGTGAAAACATTCGACTCGTAATTGTCCATGGCCTGAGGCAGCTCGGATTCGACCGCCGTGTCCACTCGGGCCATGCTACGCTGAATCTCCACCACGCTGCAGCTCAGCACCTGCTCCACGGCCGAGGCCAGAACCTGCTCCTTCAGGTGGACCATCTGCGAGAACACCTGGGCGAAGCGCAGCAGATCCTTGTGCGTGTTCCGGTTGCCTTTCTGCCGCAGACGCAGCGCGTGAAGCCACAGTTTGATGCACTGTTCAAACTCCATGTTATCGGCGTAGACGGCGCCGCGATAGATGATGGGGTGTGACACGTCGATATTGTCCGAGCCCAGGATGCGCTCCCGGATCATCAGCCCCTCCATGTGCAGAGCGTCCCGGTCCACACGGATGGCCTCCAGTTCTTGGGGTGTCTGGCACTCGCAGCGCCCGCCGTAGGCCTCGATGGGCGGCAGCAGCTCCTTGGTGATGATGTTCTCTGGGTCGCGGTAGCGCTCCGTCATGGCCATGTGCAGGTAGTGGTATGTCCTCTGGATGTCGTAGTTTTCCCGGTCGTTGGCGAACGAGGCGCCGAGCAGCTCCAGGGCCTCGATACGGCTGCGGGGGTCACAGTCGGCGTGCGCCAGCAGCAGCTCCACCACGTCTGCTTTGCAGCTCTCTGCCGCGACCTTCAGGGGCGTCATGCCGTGTCCATTCACCACCATGGCTGCCTGACAGCGCACCAGCTCAGTTACAATCTCCAGATGGCCCGCTTCCGCCGCAAAGTGCAGGGCGGTGGCGCCGCAGTGGGCCTTGGCGTTGGGGTCGGCGCCCTGCTCCAACAGGAACTTCACCACGTCCGTGTGGCCTTTATAGGCGGCAATCATCAGGCAGGTGTTGTTGTACTTGTTGGTGATGCTGATGTCGGCGCTGTGCTCCACCAGGTAGCGGACAATGTCCAGGCGCCCGTCGAAGCAGGCGGCCCGCAGCGGCGTGGAGTTGGTGATGGTGGTGTGGTTAACGTTGGCACGGTGACTCACCAGCAGGCGCACCACCTCAAAGTGCCCCGCTCCGGCTGCACACCACAGCGCCGTGGCCCCGTCGATGACGTAGCTGCAGGACAGACAGACAGACAGACAGACAGACAGACAGGAGACAGACAGACAGACAGACAGCAGTGAGGACACGTTAAACATTCAGGTTGTGAACCAAGAACAAGGCTTCGGGGTGGAAACTGTCCAACTCTGTTAAATATTAAAATGAAATATTAGGTGTTTTTCCTTTGAAGTTAAAGTTTCCTTAAGTTTAAATCTGTTGCAGTCACAGGTCTGATTTCATTAGTTTACCATCACCTGAATATAGGAATTGTTCTTTGTGTGTGTTGCAGCCACCGTAGTAGATTCTTTGGGCTCTGAGAGGAGGGTGAAGCGAGGGAGTTGCTATCTGGAATTACACTACTAGATGCCACTGAACTAGATAAAGTGTGTCGCAGTGTTTGAGCTGGTAGATGTGAGTAACGTGTACAGGAAGTGACACAAGAGGGTTTTTATTGGGCGCAACTAAATAAAAAAAGTCAGAAAAGGAAAATCTATAAAACGATTTCGACACATTTCTGCAAACGTGATGTAAAAATATTGTAATTTATTCTAATGAGAGAGATACTGTGACATCAGTGAGTGGGTGTGGTCGGCTGGATGAACCAGTTTCAGAGAGAGGAGCTGGTTTCTGTTTGACTTTAACACTCTGATACTGAACTTTACTTTCTTTAAGAGTTTCTGCGACACAAACAGACAAATAAAGTGTTTCACTACTTTAATACAAACTGGATTTAAACCGTCGTCAGTCTGAAGTTTGGGAGAAATTAAAGCGGTAAAGTAATGTAACTAGTAATGTAACTAATTACTGTTGACAGGGGTAATAAGTTAAGTAACATTACTTTAGAAAAAAAGTAATAAATTACTTTTTGTTTTTAGTTACACTGTTGGTAATGAATTATTCTGGAGGCAGGAACCTTAAAACATGGACTAATTATTTCTGAATGATCTTAATAACCTGATACCAGATCAATAAACATGAACACTGGAGCTCACACCCGTCGAACCGGACCGTGCCGGTCTGTTCCGTGTCCACCCTGTAGTGGTCCAGGAGCAGCCGGACCACTTTGTCGTGTCCGTTCCGGGCTGCGATGATGAGGGGAGTGGACCTCTGTCCGGCCAGCTGGGTCACGTAGGCCAGCAGGTACCGGGTCTCGGGCTCGGAGTGGTTGAGCAGCAGCGCGGCCAGGGTCAGGACTCGGCCCTCGCTGGCCGCCTTGTACACGTACCCGGCCAGAGACTCCATCTGCGCCCGGCAGGGAGCCACGACCTCCGCTTCTTTCTTCGCAGCTGGCAGCGTCCAGTCCTCCACAGCGAGCCGCCTCCCATTAAAATGTCCGAACCGGCTCCGGCGCACGCATGAAACGTTGAGCTTCTCCGTTATAGCGGCGAGAGAAACCGGAGCTAATCCGACACCGAGCGTCCGCCGCCCGGATCCGGCGACAGCGGAGGGCCGGTTAGCTTCTGTGCTAACGTTAGCTCCCACTAACAGTTCCAGCCGTCCTGATGAAGCTCCGGTCGGACTGGATTCAGCCGTTAGCTCGGTGCTCGCTTCAATACAAACAACTTCTACCGGAGCTTCTGAGGGAAAACCGGGAAAAAAAACCGTCAAAGATTTCAAAAACAAACACTTTCACCTCTCCACAGACACTCATTGGCCGGAAGTTGCCGTGCAGCGTGAAAATACGTCCGAGTGGAACTTTCTCTCGCTCATATAAGTTCCGCCTCTCTGGCTTCCGCTTGAAAAAAACTAAAAACTTTATTCAACAGTTTGAACGGAAACAAAATGCATAAATAAAATAAAAACAAAACATGAATAAAAGATGTAAAGAAACTGTAATGTTGCGAAAAAAATGAGGAGGATCTATTGTCAGAAATATAATCTAATATATTCTAAGTATATTTTCATTAATGTATAACCACCAGAATATAATAATCACTGTGTTTGTGTAGAACAGGACTCTCAAAGGGCAATATTCATATATTCTATAATAATATAATAACATTTTTATTACGGCCACTGTAGTTTCTCCCCCGCTCTTCACAACCCGTTCTCATTCCCAGCTCATCAGATACTGACGCAAGGGCTCGCAATCTGAAACTTCACCACTAAATCCTTCATACTGGTCCTTTAAGTACGCCTCCACCATTTTAAGTTTGCTATATATAATCTATATATATATAGATATAGATATATACAATATATATAGCTATATATATAAACCTGTAACTCTCATATTTATTCTTCTATTCTATTTAATGTGTCTTTTCTAATCTGTTGTGTTGTTTCTGGAGCCGCTGTAACCCCCCCCCCCGTGGGATCAATAAAGTCTGATCTTCTTTTATTCTTTTATCACACAAGTCTTACAACCTCACAGACACTTTCTTTTCTCTGATTCACTTTTTATTGTTTTTCTCAAAATAATAACGTTCAAAACAAAGACTTCACAGACAGAAAAAACAAAAATAAAAACAATATTTCAACAAGAAAACAGAATAATACAATAAAAACAATACACAAACACACATTTTCATTTAGTTTTCTTCAAACTGCGAATAGATATCGATCTACTGTGTATATTTTAGAGTTTATATTTTTATTTAAGATGTAAGCTTTGAAGAGCTGAACACAGTGAATGTTCACAGCCTCGAGTCTGAGTCTGTCTGATTGTGAGAATGATCAGAATACAGAATACAGAGACTGTATAAAAATATCAGGAAAACTCATCTCTGATCAATACTGACAGGAAATAATCAAACTTCAGCAGTGACTGAGTTCACTGTTTGGGTTCATTGATCAGTTGATCAGCTGTTCTCTGCTGTTATTGGTATTATTAAATATAATATGTAATATACAGAGAATATAGTCAGTTTACTGATGATAGAACATTTTCTGATGTTAAACTCAGAAAAAAACAAAATTCTTGTTCTTGGCCCCAAAAACCTTAGAGACTCACTGTCTAAAGATATAGTTACTCTAGATGGCATTACCTTGGCCTCTAGCACCACTGTCAGGAATCTTGGAGTTATCTTTGATCAGGATTTGTCATTTAACTCCCACATAAAGCAGACCTCTAGGACTGCCTTCTTTCATTTACGTAATATTAGAAAAATTAGACACATACTATCACAGACAGATGCAGAAAAACTAATCCATGCATTTGTTACTTCAAGGCTGGATTACTGCAACTCTTTATTATCAGGTTGCCCCAATAAATCCATTAAAACACTCCAATTAATTCAGAACGCTGCAGCACGAGTACTGACAGGAACTAGAAAAAGAGATCACATCTCTCCTGTACTAGCTTCTCTGCACTGGCTCCCTGTAAAATGTAGAATAGAATTTAAAATCCTCCTCCTCACCTATAAAGCTCTTCATGGTCAGGCCCCTTCATATCTTAAAGAGCTCATAGTACCCTATTACCCCACTAGAACACTACGTTCTCTGAGTGCTGGGCTACTTGTGGTTCCTATAGTCTCTAAAAGTAGAACAGGAGCCAGAGCCTTCAGTTACCAAGCTCCTCTCCTGTGGAACCAGCTTCCAGTTGTGGTTCGGGAGGCAGACACCCTCACCACATTCAAGAGTAGGCTTAAGACATTCCTCTTTGATAAAGCTTATAGTTAGGGCTGGATCAGGTGAGTCCTGAACCATCCCTTAGTTATGCTGCTATAGGCCTAGACTATCGGGGGATTTCCCATGGTGCACTGAGCTCCTCTCTTCTTCTCTCTTTCTGCACTCATTCATGTTCCCATTAATGCATGTTACTAACTTCACTTCTTCCCCGGAGTTCTTGTGCTTTCTCGTCTCGCAGGTTCTCATGGATCCTGGTGGAGCCTCCTGCCATGGTCCTGCTAGACTGCCATTGCCAATACTGTTGTTGCTGTGCACCTGTCTGTCTGTCTGCTCTCTCTCTCTCTCTCTCTCTCTGTGTCTCTCTGTCTCTCTCTCACCCCTCTCTCTCTCTCGTCTCTCTCTCTCAGCCCAACTGGTCGAGACAGACGACCACCCACCTAGAGCCGAAGGATCTGTCCTAGGTTTCTGCCTTTTAACAGACAGTGTTTCCTTGCCCTTGTCGCCAAGTGTCTCGCTCATGGTGGTACTGTTGGGTCTCTGTAAATAATGTTATAAGGAGTTCGGTCTAGACCTGCTCTATTTGAAAAGTGTCCTGAGATAACTTCTGTTATGAATTGGCGCTATACAAATAAAATTGAATTTAATTGAATTGAAAAAAGGTTGTGTAATACTGAGTGCATGTAGGGGCCAATATTTTAAAAATAGGTGGATTGCCCTAATGTGGGACACCTAAGCTCCAGTGGGTGTGGCTCTTCCCCAAACTAATGACTGTAGCTGTAGTGTCATGTGATCAAAATCACATGACCTTTGAACTGTCCAGTCATAAATTAGGGCAGGGCAATCATCAAACAGGAAGTACCAGGAAGCAAAAAATGTCCCACATTAGGGCAATCTACCTCCTGATTGATTTCTTTATAATATAATAATATAATTGTCTATTTGGGTCATTTCAGCCAGCAGCACATTAAAAGGGAAGATACTGTTAAACAACCGGAGTTTCTACATGTTTCCTGGATCGGCCGATCATTACACAGCCATTATTTAAATAAATAATTATTGATCTGTTATTTATTCTATTCACTGGCGGACGAAAACATGTTGACACAGTTTTCTGAAACCAGTTTGCGCATGAAAACTGAGGAAACAGTTCCACCGACACATACAGGGCAGGAATAACACGGTTAACACATAAACACAGTTACACCACAGTTATAACACAGTTACAAGAGTGTTACACCACAGTTATAACACAGTTACAAGAGTGTTATACCACAGTTATAACACAGTTATAACACGGTTATAACACAGTTACACACAGTTACACACGGTTACACACGGTTATAACACGGTTACGCCACAGTTATACAATGTTTTTAGGTAACCTTCTGAATGACCCACTCAGTCAGTTTGGCATCAGCCTGTGTTAAATCGGCCGTAAAGATTTCCTCATTAAACTTAATGAGACGCAGTAAATAATCAGTTTCCCAGAATCTGATCGCTGCGGGTCTAAAGAGAAGAATGCTAGCAGCTAACTAGCTAACGGCACTCAGATTACCCAGAAGCCCCAAATCAGACTGAATGGAACAAACTCTGAGAGTGAATCGAGTCCATTCATATCCACCGTTTTCCAGCCACTTCTCTCGCAGTGCAGCCTGATGGGAAAAAGTCTTTCTGTGCCAGTGTGCATCACCTGACGGACGCCCCCGCTGTAATTACACAGGTCAGCCTCTGTGTGTCTACCTGGGGGGGTTGATGTGGGGGGAGGAAGTATTCAGGTCCCAACCACACTGTGAAAATACTGCAGTACAAATACTGTGTTATAAACCTCACTGAGTATTATAGTAACATTTACTGAAAGACGTCAGTGTGCAGTGAAAGGTTCCTGTAGTGTTTAATATTCTATCTGATGTGTCTTTATTATATTACTGCTGTATTAATGTTATATATATATATATATATATATAATTATATAATAGTTTTGGTCCTGCTACAGTTTCTCTACCACACTGTTAGCTGCTGGCCACCGGGACCTGACCCTGACAACGGGCTGAGGAAGAGGAGTGATGATCAAACGCTCACTACTGAATGGATCATTAAAATAAAAACAAATCCACAAATATGAACGTGTTAATCCCGTTTATGGAACCTGTTGGAGGGAGAGATTTAAAGCACAGACAGCTGTCAGAGCTTCATCCAGGAGAAAAAGATTTAAACAGGTTTTTTAAAAGCTGTAGGAGTTGTAGTTAATGAACACACGGCGTGTGTCAGGACTGTGAATAGAGGGTTTGAAACTTCAGACGAAGTTGCCTGTGATCGCAGCTTCCAGACGTCCTGCGGTGTGACAGAGCGTTGTTAGCGTAGCATTAAAGCTCAGTGTGCGACTGACTGATGGTTAAACACCGTCTGCTTTATCTCTTTAATGTAAGAGAATGACAATCATTTGTTTTGTGAATTTTTGCATTAGTTGGAAGTTTGTTGCTACCTCAGACGTCACTTGAAGGTAAAAGTAAGTACAAATCACACTGATAGCATCATTGTCTTTATTTGGTTGTACATTAATTATTAGTGTTGAACGAGTACTCGGCTGAAACGAGTATCCTGTACAGATAATGTACTTTAGTATCACCACCCAGGTTTCCTGAATAGCAACATTCAGATTTCCACCAGTAGAGGGCGCTCAATGTGTATTATTATAGCATATATATGTAGAATTCAAATATTTTTCACTAAAATGTCCAGATTTAGACCAGAATCAGTCAACAACAGTAGTAAACACCCAGATACAGTTTATGAATAATAATAATATTCTCATCAGCAGCAGTGAACTGATTTGACTGCACGGGATGGATCGGACCATAATCCCACAGGGGAGACTGCTGGGACCTCAGCTGTACACAGTGAACACAATGAGGAACATCAACACACACACACCTGGACTTTGGAGGTCCATCCAGTCCCAGATGAACCAGATTCAGTTGAATGATGAACTGGTTCCAGGTATTCAGCAGCAGAGGAAAACTTCATCCTGGTCTCTGTTAGTCTCCCAGTGCAGGACGTTATGGAGGACGCAGATAGAACCTCACCATCCTCTCTGCAACCTGTGGAGACCTGAGCTCTCCAGTAGAGACGACACCGAGACCGTCCAATGTGCCGCAGGCCCCCTCCTTGTTCCTGGGTTTCATCAGCTTCCTGCTCAGAGGAATCTGCCACGGACACATGAGGGACTGGACTCTGATCTTCAGCACCAGTCAGAGGAAGAGTCTGGGTCTCCAACACAGCCAGCGGTACTGCCAGTCAAATATAGCTAAAAGCACAACAGACAAGTGTCTCTGGGAAGTTCCAGATATGATGAAGGTCTCCTGCTTTCTCCAGACAATCACAGCTGGAAAATAAACTGCTTTTCTACGATTGAGACAGGATTTAAATGATTAAACTACACAAACAGTTCAAAGCTCAACCTTATTCACACAATGCAGCAGTGACATTAATCCCCAAACCATCAGATAAAACATTTTACTGCTGTGAGCAGATTTTACTCATAATGTATCTTCACAGTGGTGTTAATGCTCTTACTAAAGGACCACCTTACTGTGTGTGTGTGTCCTACACAACCGGGCACTACAGAGCGCTAAATGTTTGATTTATTGGAAGAAACTCAGCAGAGACAGACTCTCTGTTTCTGGTTGGTCTCCTGCTTTGTGCTGTTTTGTAAAAGAGTCCAGCCTCACAGACGAGATCGTGATGTTCCCCCCTTTATATTCCCTCCTCAGCCAATACAGAGCAACAGCAAGAGCTCTACGCCAGCTTCAATCCATATTTGTTCTATTAATCATATTCGATCGCCCGGTGGCATCACACGTTCACACCGACTCCAAAACCTTCATCATTGAAGTTTTCAGAACAGGTTAAATTTTCTGCGGTTCTTCGCAGCCGTCAGATGAGGACAACTCGGCCCAGTCAGGGTTCAAAGTTGAGAAATCATTTTTCAGGGCATTTGGCTGCAGGTTGTGTGGAAACGGAACATTTTTCTGTTCGGCTTTGTCTTTCATTGATTACACTGCTGACCCCGAACTAAAGTACATATTATCAGTATATTTTATATTGATCAGTATCAATAACAGCAGAGAACAGCTTCTAAACTGAACAATGAACCCAAACAGTGAACTCAATAACTGCAGGAAGTTTGATTATATATTATATATGAGTTTTCTGATCATCTGTATTATGTATTTATTTGTTTTTAACAGTTAGACTTAATATGCTTCTTTTTTTGACGGATTCAGTGTTTACTTTACACTTTATGTTTATTAGCTCTTTTTATGTTATAACTGCAAACCTTTTTAATGCAGGATGATGAGATATCGTTCTACTGGGTTTATTTTTAACGTTTTCTTACACCCATTAAAATCAAGAAGGCCCCGCGACCCCCTGGGAAGCTTTGCCGACCCCCGGTGCGTCTGGTAAACCTGCTTTGAACTGTTGCAATTGATCCAAATTAATTCCAACTAAATACACACCCAGGTTTACATAAAGATGTAAGCGGCTAAAATACAAACTTTCCAGGAAAACACAGATCATTTCCAGGATATTTGATTAAATTTCAAGGTATTTTCATGACTAGAAAACTAGTCTCTAAATGTCCAGGTTTCCCAGGAGCACCTGAAACCTCCAGCAGGAGCACACAGCTCTTTCATCAGCAGCAGAAACACCTTGTCCTTCACACCTTGGACCCAATATGTCCAATCTGCTTTAAAGTGAGAACAAATGGAATAATTAAACACATCCCTCAGTGTGTAAAGGCCTTTTTCTGTATAAGATTATATGTGGTTGTTTCTCCTGAGTGGAAGTTAAGAAGTAGGAGTAAAAGCCTTTGTTCAGTCGGGGTTCTCTTGTAGAAACCTGTTTCTGGAGTTATTTGTTAAGTTGATGAGCTGCTAATGTTAGCGAGAACCCTGCTGCTCTAATTACCATCATACAGCAAACCCCTGTCTTCCTGTTGTTTCTATACTTCACAGTGAGCAGATCCACAAACAGAAACCCTCCCAGAGAACAGAATTGATCATGTGGAGGAGAAGAAATCAACGCAGGAGTTTTTACTTGAGTTAAAAAGTTTGAAAAATACAATAAATCAAAGTGAAAATGCAATTTGTGGAGCAAACAGGATAAAGCTCTCCAGCAGCAGCAGAGGCGGCGGGAAATAAAGCGTGAAAGTGAAGTCTGAATGGGAATAAGTGGGCAGAGAGAATGGATGAGAGAGTCTGCATCCTCCTGTGACTGTGTTACTGCACACTGTATCACAGCCTCCTCCTCAGGTCTGTCAGGACATCACAGGAACATCAGCCGAATCCAGGAAACATCCTCACACAGTGGCTGCTGCTTCAGAAACACTCAGCGACAACAGAGACACTCTGTGCATTATTTATAGAGACAGACAGAAAACAACCAACACGAGTCTGATCCTCTATAATTCTCTCAGTGGTGGAAGGTACATTTGATCTAAAGCGTCCGTATCAGATAGTGAATCATTTTATGTTTCTATAATAATCAGATTATTGATCAGTGAACAGGTTGTAATGTAGCTTTGTCCCTCTGCTGTCTGTGGACTGATCTCTATGTGTCTCTATGTAGGATGAGGGTCAAAGGTTGTGACCTTTATGCTCCCGAGTGCCAACAGTGGGCAACACAGAGTCCAACACAGAGTCCACAACACAGAGTCCACAACACAGAGTCCAACACAGAGTCCAACACAGAGTCCAACACAGAGTCCACAACACAGAGTCCACAACACAGAGTCCACAACACAGAGTCCAACAGAGTCCAACAACACAGAGTCCACAACACAGAGTCCAACACAGAGTCCAACACAGAGTCCAAAGTCAAAGACTAACATTAGGCAAAATTGAATCTGAGTGTATATGTTAAGTTGGCTAAAGTGTTAAGCTAAAGTCAAACACACAACCCCACTAACATGATTCATGATGCTAACTTATGTATTCTGTTGATGTTAGCCAACAATAAATGATGCTAACAGTACAAAGCTAACGATAGCTTTCTATTAGCCAAGAGTGATGCGTAGCAGGGGCATCCAGCTAGCTAACTAAAGCTAAGCTAACTGGTGTAGTCCAGCTGGCTGTATCTTGGCGTTGCATTGTGGGTCTGGTGTCGGTTGCTTCTACAGTTTAATGCTACATATAAAAGCTTTAATACTGAATTCAGACTGAAATCTTCTCACAACCTTTAACGGATATTTGTGATCAGTTTGTACGTTTCAGTCTTAATAAAACATGTTTTACGGACGTTGATGATGAACCTCAGCGGGACCATAAGCTTCTAACTGTGTTCATGTGAAACCAGATTAATGCTGTCTAATAAAAAAATGGGAGGAGGTTTATACAGATTACAGGATTATCTGCTGGCAGATCAACCGGCAGTTCAGCTCCTCCACAGCGGCTGCGGGATTTTATCATGAAATTATTCCGGTTTGTTTCGACGGTGAGGAACCATCAGAGGAAACTGCAGCGAGGAGGATTCACGTGTGGAAGCTCCTCAAGATCAACGCAGGCAGAGCTGTGAGGAGGCGACGGCTTCGGGATTTTCACTGCAGTCGACCTAATTGGCTCTCAGAGTCAGAAACACTGCAGCTGGATTTCAGAATAAAAGACTACAAACAGAACTGAAATGCAGCCGTCAGTCCGGAAGAGACCGAACTCTCTGCACGCTGCAGCTTTCATGTGCAGGTTGGTAAAAGGAATTTTTCATCATTAGTCCCACCTTTAATCAGCTACTCTAATTAACCCTTCCTAAGCCCCGCCCCCTTTTTTCTCTCCGCTCCAATCACAGTTGAGCTAGCCTCGGTCAACTTCCTCCTTTCCTGTACTTAGATATGCTATATGCTAAGCTAATCTATGTTGGAAAGACGACCACATTCTGAAGATGGTTAAAAGATAAAAGAGACATTTATATAGTCACATCTTAAGTAAGCTAATGTTCGCTAATGATGACGTGTAAGTCATCCAGTGAAGAGCTGAAAACATCCGATCCGAAATAAATAAATGAATGTTAAACTCATATTTCTGATTGTTTTTTTATTAAGTCCTGATGAATATATGTAATTATACATTCTGACTTTGTAATGAGTTCAAACATTATAAGAATAGTCGTTAATTAATTACTGATGTTATGAGAATAAAGTATGTTGCTTTAATTCAGCTGCATTTTTTACAGAAATTAAAAGAGATAGGAAATTATTTCCAGAATAATATTGACTTTAATCCTGAACCAACTTAAAACTGGACTTTGTGCTGCTGGTTTCCGTCGTTAGAGTTGATCCTGCTGCCGTATTCGTGGCCGGCTCCTCTCTGAAAAGGAGATTGAGGATGTCAGTGGGGCTAACCTGATTACATAATGAAAGCAGCAGGACATTATATGTGTCCTCTGCTGGATGTGTGTCAGATGAGCAGATGAGATTAGAGCTGGATCAAATCCACTTTCACAGAGTTTGAGGATTTTGGAAGGAGAGCATACGTCAGGTCACGACTTCCTCTGGCTCCAGGACTGTTCAGTACTTTAAAAACCTCCTCTGTCAGCCTGCAGCTCTACCAGCGTTCGCTCTCTTTAGTCATGCTGAGTGGATCTCAAACCGTGACCGTGCTTTAACCATACGGCTGTACTGGGACATCCTGATGTAGATAAAGAGTTCTTGCAGTTCGTCCTGAGGGGAACATTTCATCACAATCAGGGCTGCTTCTAACTATTTTGTGAAACTAAAGGATATTTTTAACTAAATCATCTTTAAAATGTTTTTTTTCAATGAGGTTTGGTATGTGTGACATCTTGAACACAAATATCTAATAAAAAGCTTTAGAATCACACACACATCCTATTATAAACTCACATTTAACTCCTTTATATCTTCTGATCTGAGGGCAAAATGTTCCCTTAAATTCCAGGATTAAATTACAGTTCACTTAAATAAACTTTAAATTAAAGACAAATTAAATTAGCTGCTATAATCACAGAACATATAAATTATTATTAGTTATTAAAATGAAACACTATTTATAATACAGAAACCTGCAGTAGCCTCAGTGGACGTTCTGCAGCACATAGCCAGAGTCCATTTACAAATCTGGCAATTTAATATTTTCAGGTGCAGTAGTGAGTATTAACAACTGAAGGAAAACATATTTTATATTTTAGAAATTCAAAGCTTTTGTTCTGTAATTCGGTGATTTTAAAGATTTTGACACTTACAAGTTTTTCCTGAAATCATCGTCAGAAATCAGCACAAAGAGCTGGAACACATCAATTTTATAAACGGGATTTATTTATCTGAAAAAGCTGCTACTTGTCATCATATACAGTATTATATATATAAACATTTATACAAACAGTTATAAACAGAGATATTATATATATATATAAAAGACAGAAAGAACAACCTCATGGTGGCGCTAGAGGAAAGTCTGTGTTATTGATCCTCTGTGAGCTGGGACAGACATTCTGGTTTTGGCTGTTGGTCTAACCCGGTGGTTTTCAAACTGGGGTCCGGGGACCAGCAGGGGTCTGTAGTGGGTCTCCAGGGAGAGCACCTCTTCCAGTGGAGGAAATAGTATAAACCTCCCACCCCTCAAACACCTCCAGAGTCCACCACTGTGGTGCTGTCTAACTATTAACCATCATGCACTGGGGCGGTTGCAGCTGCCTCTTTCACGTTGTGCCTGTGTTTATGATCCTCGCTGCTGATTCGGTGCTTTGTTAAATGTTTGTCAGTCTTTCTTTTTATTTCAGCTCCGTTTCTGATCCTTTACTGAGCCGCTGATCTCACATAAATCCCATCATGCATCAGAGGATTTAAGCTCTGCGCTGTGAAAGGCAGTCGGAGTCTCTGATTGATTAATTAGCTGCTGTCGGTGAACCGGTTGAACCCGTCCGGCTCCTCTAACGTGTCTCTGTGACCTGCAGCCGGTCGGCCGGCGCCACAGAGACGGAGGCGGTCCCATCGAAGCCTCGGTTCCACCTGGACCTGTGGCTTGGCTTCACCGTCCAGAACTGGATCCTGGATGTTGGCCAGCCTGTTGTCATGGTAACGGGATGGTGTTTTTTTATAGCTTTATTTTCCGGACACATTCAGCCAGAAATAAACATAATTCTGATTTTATTTCACTTTATTGATTTTGAATCCTTTAAGAGTTTAATGTCGAACTTTATGACAGGAAACAGTTAATTTCTCTTTTTATTGTAAATATTGTGTGTTGAGGTTTATGGATGGATAGTAACGTTGTTTTGGGACGATAACACCGACCTTTAATCAACTGTTAAACAATCTTTATAATGTCTTAGAATATAAAGTTGGAGCTGAGTTTAAGAAACCCGACAGTGTTTAATAAAGTGAGACTAAACTTTTGGTAACAATGAGTCCAAATCTGAAATGTCTCATTTTAATTGAATCTTATTGGAATTTATCAATAAATAACAGAAGTTATCTCTTTTCAAACAGAGCAGCTCTAGACCTACTATTTAAAACATTAAAAGTTGAGTATAAAAATGCATAAATATATTAAATTTAATAATAAAAAAAAAAAAATTCTCTATTATCATCCTTCAGTAATGAAGTGAAATAAAATATAAAGGAAAGCAAAAAGAAAGAAAATCTGTGTGGATGAAAGACAAAGATAAATTATTAACATCAGACCATTAAATTAGCACATTTGGTATAATTTAATAATCTTTTGTTGTTTTTAGCTTTTAATTAACTGATAACTTTTTATTAGTTCCTCCAACTATCGTCACAACCAGTAAAAGGATTTACATATAAACTTTATATGTTTTAATGTCAGTATAAGTTGATTTTAAATAAATTCTCCAATATAATTTCACTGTACGTTTATGAAGTTGGACAAACTACTGAAACCACCTCAAGTTCATTTATTATATATTACAATTTAATATATAACTCAGACTGCTTTTATTATTATTATTATTATTATTATTTACATTCTGGTTCTAGATTCAGTTTTGATTTAGATTTTAAATTTTTTTTTCTTAAAATTCAGTTTTTGCATTAAAATAACTAAAAATAAATCTGCTTCCTCAGGACAATCAAACAACCATCATTAAATTAAAATGTTGCTGAATCCTCATTGGCTCTGGGACCTATGTGACCTCATTGTGACTAACCCCCGCCCACTTTGAACCAGATTCTTGTTCCACTCATATAATAAAAAGACTTGGATGTCATTTGAGTCCTTTGACGGTCTTTTAAGGTAGAAATTAAACATTAAATCTCCTTGCAGCTTGTCCTCCCAGCAGACTGGTTTCCTTCGAACCGTCCCGGCGCCGCTGACTACCTTCACATCCTGTACAACATCACGACTCCACTCGTCCTGCTCAAAGTAAAGAGACGCAGAATAACAACCTCGCACATACGGACCTTTCTGCTCCGCACTCAGACATCTGCTCTTCCTGCAGATGCTCCAACGCAGCCCCAGGACTCTGCCCCGAACCGCAGTCCGCCTCGGCATCATTGCCGTCGTCGCGGGAACCAGCCTCCACCTGGCGGCGGACTCCATCACCCGGCGGCTCCTGCTGATTGGCTACCAGCTGCACCTGTCGGTCAGAGACAATCCACTTATGAAGGACCTGAAACCGCCTTCGCTGGTACGTGAACGCAGTCGTTATTAATGGGTTCAGGAAGACAGTCTATTATTATTATTATAATTATTATTATCATCATCATTATTTTGTTCCGCAGATCGACGCCTTCGAGCTTCTGTTCTACTATGACGACACTATCGGTCACCTGATGTGGTAAGAAAACCCCAAACTATCACCAATCACACCGAACTAAATCTTTCGTTTAAAGTTAAAATATATTTTCTGGACTGCAGTTCACTGAACAACCACTGGTGGCGCTGTTACCTACAGTTTAATGAAGGACCACTGGTGGCGCTGTTAGCTACAGTTTATTGAACATTGTCTCTGAGTCACAAACTGAAGCTCTCACAGTGAATATTGTTCAGTCCTGATGGTGGAACTGGTTCACCCACGCAGGTGATTAGATCTGTTGTGTGGGAGTGAGCAGCTCTGCTGTTAGATGTGCTCCATCCTTCTGCTTTACTACATATATTGCACTTTTAACTTCACTACATTTATCTGACAACTTTATAGAGTTTATAAAATATGATGTTTTGCTATAAATTAAACTACCCAACAGTTTAAACAAGTAATAATTAATCAATTAGTTAATTGACAGAAAATTAATTGGCAACTATTTTGGTTGTTTGAATCATTTTTAATGTAAGAACATTTAATATGTGAGAATACTGTTTTCCTAAGCCCCGCATGGTATTCGGGCTGTAACTGATCAGCTGTGATTATTCTTTCTCCTGCAGGTATGTTCCTCTCTTCCTTGTCCTCTTCCTCTTCTTCAGTGGTTGTTTCGCTCACAGGAAACAGGAGGAGACGATGCCGCCGGCAGGGTGGACGCTACTTGTCCCCAACGCCGCCTACTACTGGTCAGACTGCGTTACTGCGAGATTACTGGTTCAATTCCTGTCTCAAGAAAACATACGTTTTCACTTCCTACTAGTCAAATACCGCCACTGTCAGTTATACTATAATACATAATATAAAATAATATAATATAATATAATATAATATAATATAATGTAATATATTATAATTTAATATAATATAATATAAAGTAATATAATATAATATAAAATAAAATAATATAATATAAAATAATATAATGTAATGTAATATAATATAATGTAATAATCCCTCTAGCATCATTTCTGGATGTGCAGGGCTCAGCGGTTAAGTTAGCAACAATAACATCCGGTTAGAGAAAAAGTAACGTAATGTTATTAAATGGTCGCAGTTTGTTTAGGTTTAGGCACAAAAAAGACTTGGTTAGGATTAAGAAAACATGTTTGCTAACATTAGCTAACTTCAGATATATATGTCGCTTTTATCTTTTGACCACACGTGGTGTCTTTTCAGCATAGATTAGCTTAGCATTTAGCATATCTCTCACAGGATGGCGAAGTCATGACCCACTGTACCTGTGATTGGCTAGTACTTGTTGCCTAGTCAGATTGGTTAGGGTACGAATGTCAGAGGTAGAGCTGTGACTTCGCCTTCCTGGGAAAAAAATATTGCGTACAAGAAAGGAGAAAGATGACGAGGTTCTGTATGACAGGCATCAGAGGGGTGTAAACCTATGTATACCTGCACTACATTGCTGGGAAGATGCATTTCATCATCTACAGAGTTATTTCTCTGTGTATTTAATCTTCTCACCAGAGGAAAACTCAAAGAGCAGCTTGGCTTTGTAATGAAACAGACGGAGTCACTGAGGGAAACCTGTGTTTGCTGGAAGTGGTGATTAAGTTCATTAACGGGGCTGCAGGTGCATAAATCTACATTTACTTTGTGTTAGCAGCTCCGTGTAAAGCGAGCAAAACCAGGAGGCTCATCTTGTATTCTTCACTCGACCTCTGCACATTTACATTCTGAGAGGCTCTCATCCATCCATCCATCATCCACTCATCCAGCGAGGCCAACAGCAAATTAGATTCCTTCTTCGTCGAACACAACCTGAAGAGCTCCGGGGTCGAGCAACTCCCCGCTGAGACTGCGGCGGCATAAACAAGGCAAACAAACACGGACATGAGAGCAGACGTACTTAAAGAGATAATGCTGAGTTAGGTAGGTTTCTCAGTGTGTTAGTTTGAATAATTACGCAGAATCAATGCTCGGAGGTCAGATATACGTTATCTCTCTCCAGCTGTCAGGATTCATCCAACATTATTAAGTTAAACATACAATATGTAATTTTTACCACCCTCAGATCAGAACAATAACAAAAGCTTGATGAGGTGGTGAAGCAGCGTGGGATCATGGGAGTTGTTGTCGTCACCACCATTGGCGTCATTGCAGTCAGCTTCTCCCGGTTAGGATTCCTTCAGTGTTCATGGTTCAGGAGGTTTCTACCGGGAGCCCAATGATCCACAGAGGTCTCCTCCTCTCCAAAACAAACAGACCCGCTGATTAAAACCACTAAACACACTGAATAAAGCAGTTCCACCTTAAACACACTGAATAAAGCAGTTCCACCTTAACAATCACTGCTTCTCCCACGCTGTTGGACAGACAAAGGGCGTCCCAGAGGGGCTGCGAGTTGAGCTGCTGCTAACGTTAGTTCAGCTTGTTTCTCTGATAACTTGAGATTTCAATTCAATTCAATTTCAATTGAAGACGTCTGATGACTAAAATCCTTCATCCAGTTCAAATCTAGAGTTAAAAAGCACCAAGATCTAAACAGTGGACAGCGACCGCCGTGCAGGCCCTGACGTAAGTTGATGGCGAGGTCCCGCCCAACGCTGCTTGCAGCTTTAATTTATGTTATTTTTAAGTTTTAGCGAAGTTTGTTTATTTTTAAATATTTTTATTGACGGAATCTTTTGTTTTTTTAATCCTTTACTCTTTTGCTGTGATGTCATCGAAATGTGTGATGTCCTTCAAAGATAAAAGCCAGTAGAATGTTCCTTTGATACAAAGACGAACATTCCGTCTGAAAATGCATAAATAGGATCTAAATCCAACATCAGTTCAGACTTCGAACACAACGACAAACACAGAAAGATTCTTCAGGACTTTGGATTTAAGGACATAAACAAATACAAGGATGGATCAAACAATAACTGAGAGTCTTCGCGTGCATGTCCGACAGTGCCTGGAGAAGCTGACAACCATAGAGTGGTCGCTTCTGAAATCCGGGTCCCTCGAAAAGGAGACCAAAGAGATTATAACTGACATTTGCGTGGATATCGTGAATACGATATTCATCCACATATATGGGGTGTTTAGAGAGAAGCAACTGAAGGGGAGAGACACTCCCAAATCCTCCAAAAGCTCTCCTGGATCAGCCAGATCACAGAAGAGCAGTGTATCTGAAGACGACGTCCGTGGTTGTCTGGGGGACTTCATCTCTCTGGCCTTATCGGAGGCCACCGGTGTCCCAGACATCAGTTCCCGAAGCACGGAGAAGCTAACGGATGCTGTGATTACAGAGGTCACAGACAGAGTCAATATGGTCTCCAAAAGCTCTGAGAGTAGTGGAGGTGATGAGGGGAGCAGAACTCCCATCTCACCTTCCTTCACCGAGAGACTAAAGACCATGGTCCGACATGTGGCCAAAATCTTGAAGAAGTGTGCCGTAAAGAAAGGTCAGCAAAGCCTGACAACGGAGGCAGCGGAAAGTCAGATAACACTGGAAAACTTGCCAGTGGAGGACCCAATGCTGGTTGGAACAGTTGTTCCTTCTCTTGATGAGACCGAAACAGAGTCTCCGAAGAGCTTCGTGGACAAAGTCACAGAAGCCGTAAAAATCATTGTACAAGAAAGGGCCAAGATAATCAAACCAATTGATTACTTCGTCCAGGTTTCAGAGAAAGATGGCGACATGTTCGAGTTGGAATCCTCCTACGACATGGCTGAGGTGGCTTCTGCAATTGTCGTTGAGATAATTGAGGAGTTGAAACTCAATTCAGAAGTTTCACTGCCTGACTCTCTGGCAATACCCGAAAAAACATCCCACTGGAAAACAGTGGCAGCCAAACTTAAGGATTTTTATGCTCAGCGTTTTGCCATGGGGTCACTACTCGGCCTCTTGGCAAAACTGAGGCGTAAATATAAATGCGTCCCAGAAGAACAGTCTTCTCTGAGCCAGCTGATGGAGGAGGCTGATGAGGTAGTTAGGAGCATCATCTCATCGACACTTCTAAGGAAGATGAGAACAGATGAGACCCCTGACGAAATAATCAACTCTGTTGGCAGCGATCAGGACAACACAGCCGCCATAGAGCTCGGCGATTTAGTTTTTGAACACCTACAGCCAGAGGCTCCCACGGTGGACTTCCGCCTTCAAATACAGGGCGAAGTGGAAACCTTTATGGGACAGATAAGGCGATGGCTTAACCTGCAGCTGATCCGCCACCAACGGAAGAAGGACCACGTAAGTCTTGTCCTGAAAAAGATCAGGGAAGTGGTCTGTCAGACATCACCTACTGAGACCCCCTCAGTCATAGGAAGTGGCTGCGTGACACCTGTAGGAAGTTGCTGCGTGACACCTGTGGAGGTTGAAACAAAACCACCTTCCACCCCCGTCAGGTCCATCAAGTCACCTGTGGGACCTAAGACTGGTGACACCCTGGTGGTTGAAGTAGAATCACCTTCCACCCCCGTTAGGTCCGTCAAGAAGTCACTGGTGGGAGCTAAGACTGGTGACACCCTGGTGGTTGAAGCCAAACCACCTTCCACCCCCGGTCAATCCGCCAAGTCACCGGTCAGTCATGAAGCTGCGGTTCAGACTGCAGCACCAGCAGCCCATCAGTGGGACGATACCAGATGCAGGCTTATAGTCATTGCACTGGTTCGTAAAATTGTGAAAAGTCCGATACATCTGGACATTCATGTGACTTGCAGTGACATTGAGGCAGTCAGCAGGTCACTGGCGGAGACGTTCCTGGAACAGATCACAGGTTCCGAGTTTGCTGTAAAGCCAAGTGGCCAGCACATCAAGAAGGTTGCCAAGGCCGTGCACAAGGAGTTGTGCAAGCTGACAGGCGATGCAGAGATCTTGAAGATGTGCCTGCTGTCCCGGGATGCATCTGTTTACAGATGCATAACTGAGACACTAACAAAGCATCTGGTGACGCCGCAGAAGAAGACCGGCGTGAACAGACTCTTCTCACGTCTCTTCACGACCGTTCGCCGCTTGCTTCGGCCGCAAAGAGTAATCTTTGGCGGTTTTCGACCGGACGCTAACTGGGATGACACTGAGTTTACTCCGAGAGGCTTTGGTTCGCCCACATTTGAACTATAATGAAAAACAAAATCTCAGTAAGAGAAGAATTGTCTGGTGGATCATGACAAACAGGTGTTATAGGGACCGGACACACATACTAACTGGGATGACACAGGGTTTTCTCCGAGTAGCTTCGGTTTCTTCCCACATTTTAAAAAATAAACGATTGAGCCAAACTTATAGCCACGTTTGGCCTATCCCAGCATGCATTGTGTAAAAGGGCTTAGGAAACACCCCAGAGATGTTATTAGTCTAGACAAACACAATCACACCTACAGCCCCCCCCCAAAAACCCCATAATTTAATAACATTAACAAACAAACAATATAACATATATAACATAGAACAAACAATCTGTCTAATAACAGTCATTGAATTGAATTGAACTTGTTCATTTAAGCCTGAAATTGATATTGGTTGAATATAAGTTGGATTAACAAACTCCTCCTAGAGAACTGGTCAGTACACTCTGAAGATGTTCACAATGAAAAATATCATTATCAAGTTATTTGTTGTGTCTGTGGCGTAGCGTTGAATTTTGATTTGCAGCTTTAATTAGGGTCCCTCTTGTATCTCAAGTATGTAAATGCCTTTAAATTCACAAAACCCAACAGATACAGAACAAAACAAGCTTACCAATAACAGGGTTCCTACTTTTTAAGAAATAATTTAATAATAAAAATTAATTGACTACCAACAATGTAAATTTAACATTTCCAGTATAATTATATTTTCATCTTCTGATTGCAGCGTCTCAACTGTGAGGACTCGCTGGTTCTCTCTGCTTCATTTGATTTTAAACGTATTATCTCGTAATGGCTGTGTTTGACTATTTTCAGACATTTTATAGACTAAGCCTGTCAAACACAGTCAGTTTGTGACTGAACAGAGCTAATACAAGCTTTAAAACTATTGTTAAAAAATAAACTGAAAGCACATGAGAGCATTCAAAAGTAACAACAGGAAGTGTATGGTAAAAATAAACGGTGTAATTTCTGCCACTACGACACATTAAAATGATAAAAAAATTGGTAGTGTGATGAGGTGATGAAGCAGCGTGGGATCATGGGAGTTGTTGTCTTCACCACCCTTGGTGTCATTGCAGTCAGCTTCTCCCGGTTAGGATTCCTTCAGTGTTCATGGTTCAGGAGGTTTCTACCGGGAGCCCAATGATCCACAGAGGTCTCCTCCTCTCCAACACAAACAGACCCGCTGATTAAAACCACTAAACACACTGAATAAAGCAGTTCCACCTTAAACACACTGAATAAAGCAGTTCCACCTTAACAATCACTGCTGCTAACGTTAGCTCAGCTTGTCTCTCTGATAACTTAAGATCCAGACGTCCGATGACTAAAATCCTTCATCCGGTTCAAATCTAGAGTTAAAAAGCACCAAGATCTAAACAGTGGATGGTAACAATGTGGCTTCAGACTGGATCAACAGTCAATGTGTATACATAAAAATGTATAAACTTATAAACACAAGTTCTTTTATCTTAAGTTTTGCTTAAATCCACGTTGTTCTTCTTCCACTGAATCCTCTGGTGTACTAACAGACAATAAGTGCAGCTTACAGCTAACATTGCTGCCCTCTGGTGGTCGGGACTGTTAATAACTTCAGAATCAGAGTCAGAAATACTTTAATAATCCCAGGGGAAATTATTTTTGTTACAAACTCCAGATATACAAACAACATATAATTAAGAACAAAATATAAATATATTTTTATATAACTATATATATATATATATAACTATATATATATATATAAAGGTATAATGTACAGTTTAAAATGTGCAAGAAGTGCAAAAAATGATTGTCCGTGTTTGAGTAAGGTTACAGAGAGGGGGTGTCTGACTCTCTGAGGGAGGCGTGAACTTAATACATTTGTCTCACAGCAACAATAAAATATCTGACAGTTAAGTGCATTAATAAGAGAACTGAAGCCATTTAAAGGTAACACAAAAGTACTTTACCTACTAACTAATTACTTTTATATGCAGTAATTGGTAAAGTAATATAGTTAACTACTATTTTTCATTAACTTGCTCAACAATGTTCCTTACTCCATCCACTCATTAACATTGGATAACTATGTCTTCGCCATCCTAAATAAAGTTCAGCTTGCAGAACACTATTGAATGGTGTGTGTATGTGTTGATTACGCCACTGCACTGCGAAGACAGATTCATTTCTGCATTTACAACAGTTTTAGTGCAGTTTGTTAGTATTTCTTTAAATGTGTTGAATTAAACTCGGCCTGAAGCTACAGATGACACTAATTTGGTATTAAATTAAAGGGGAAGTTTGTTTGTTAGAAATAAAATAATAGAAGGAAAACATTCCTTTAAGCAGGTTTTCACTGAGGGTTAAAAACTGTGCTTATTTATTTCCCATAATTCCCTAAAACAACGTTTACACATTCAGTGAAGTTGCAGGAGAACTATGAAGAACATCGACTCGCTCCCGACTCAAAGTTTAAGACTTCTGGCTGTAAGACTCAAATCAATTTTATAGTTTATATATAATAATAATAATAATAATAATAATAACAATAATAATAATGTATCAGTGCGATCAACTTTATAACGCCATCTTATTGAACACGATTTCTCAATTAGTCTCACAACTGTTTACTGCGTCAGAGCGTCGACGTCTGAACTGAAACTGTAACTAGTGTCTGATGAACAATACACCAGCACCTGAGGCTGAGTGTGTGTGGTGCCTTCAGGTGTTAGCAATAATTGATTAGCTAGTTCTCAGGTGTTGCTGACTAATTACTTTACTCAGTGAGGACAGCACTTACGGATAAAAGCAGAATTCAAGAAGCATGTCAGCGGTTCTGAGTGTTTTTGCTCTTTAAATACAAATAATATATTCCTCACATTACTGCTGACTGTAGCTTCCAACAGAAACACTTTTTAGCTTTCAGGCTACAATTCACCGTCCTGCACATTTATTTTCTCACAGCCGCTGTGTTTAGAATTTTTATGTGATTGCTGAAGCATTTCCATCTTTTTATACATTCATTATTATTCAGGTTTCCAAGTGAAGAGCAAACTTTACCATAAAGTCTGCAGACTAATGTTCAACTAAACACAGCGGGGGGTTTGAACCTGTGACTCTCTGCTCACAGCGCAGTGAACACACCCGCTGACCCTCCGTTTCTCCCATCAGGTACCTGATCACTGAGGGACAGACCTTCATCCTCTTCATCTTCACCTTCTTCGTCATGACCGCCACGGTGATGCGTCAGAGGAGGCGGGGCATGGTTCCCGACGGCAACGGCCTTTTCATGCTCTACAGGTAATATAAAGTTAGCCAACTAACATATCAAGTGAGTAAGCTAAGGTTAGCCAGGAGCCTGGATAAACTATCTGACGTTATTAACTCAAGATAGCCTGTTGCTACTTTATCTAGCTAGCAATTGTTTATGTTAGCAAGCAAGCTAACGCTATCCAGCTAACAGCACACTCTGTGTGTTGGACTCTGTGTTGGACTCTGTGTTGTGGACTCTGTGTTGGACTCTGTGTTGTGGACTCTGTGTTGGACTCTGTGTTGGACTCTGTGTTGTGGACTCTGTGTTGGACTCTGTGTTGTGGACTCTGTGTTGTGGACTCTGTGTTGGACTCTGTGTTGGACTCTGTGTTGTGGACTCTGTGTTGTGGACTCTGTGTTGGACTCTGTGTTGGACTCTGTGTTGTGGACTCTGTGTTGGACTCTGTGTTGTGGACTCTGTGTTGGACTCTGTGTTGGACTCTGTGTTGTGGACTCTGTGTTGTGGACTCTGTGTTGGACTCTGTGTTGTGGACTCTGTGTTGTGGACTCTTGTTGACTCTGTGTTGTGGACTCTGTGTTGTGACTCTGTGTTGTGGACTCTGTGTTGGACTCTGTGTTGTGGACTCTGTGTTGTGGACTCTGTGTTGGACTCTGTGTTGGACTCTGTGTTGTGGACTCTGTGTTGTGGACTCTGTGTTGGACTCTGTGTTGTGGACTCTGTGTTGTGACTCTGTGTTGTGGACTCTGTGTTGGACTCTGTGTTGTGGACTCTGTGTTGCCTGGACTCTGTGTTGCTGACTCTGTGTTGGACTCTGTGTTGTGGACTCTGTGTTGTGGACTCTGTGTTGGACTCTGTGTTGGACTCTGTGTTGTGGACTCTGTGTTGTGGACTCTGTGTGTTGGACTCTGTGTGGTGGACTCTGTGTGGTGGACTCTGTGTGGTGGACTCTGTGTGTTGGACTCTGTGTGGTGGACTCTGTGTGGTGGACTCTGTGTGTTGGACTCAGTGTTGCCCACTGTTGGCACTGTAGGGAAGCGGAGAGAGAAGGCACTCGGGAGCATAAAGGTCACAACCTTTGACCCTCATCCTACATAGAGACACATAGAGATCAGTCCACAGACAGCAGAGGGACAAAGCTACACTACAACCTGTTCACTCTCTGCTGATAAACAGTGATTCACACAGAAACATATTATTAAAATGATTCAAGATGACAGAATGTCAGCTCTGATACTTCTTAGTCAGTTCAAGCTCTCTGGTCGGTAGTTTCTCAGCAGCTCTGTTCCTGGTGGCGGTCTGGGTGGTCTGTCTGTGGAACGACGGCGTCCTGAGGAAGAAGCACCCCGGGTTGATCTACGTCCCGCAGCCTCGTGCCGTCTACACCCTCCACCTCCGGCAGAACGCACAGACAGAAAATAACTTCCAACATGTTTAATCCGACAGGACAGAGGCAGAATCAGACGCCGTAATGGATGTCCGACGGCCGTCCGACTCACAAATGTTGTATTGGCAATTTTATTTATGGGTAGTAACTCAGGACCACAGGAAGTAATAATAATGTTTATTCAGGTTCATATTGGAATCTAATTTCTAACGTCTAACTTCAGTCTCTCCTCTGCTGTCAAATAAAGACTCTTATTTATTATTACTACTATTTATATATATGAATTTTATTTCTTTTTTTAAAATTGTAATTATAGCTGTTAACAGTTACTATTATAATAATTTTATCACAGTAATAATAATTATTATAATATGATATACATATGTACCTGATATAATCTGTTTGTTACATCTCACTGTTTTCTGTTATTGTTTGTTTCTTCAATGTTGTCACTTCTCATTTTCAGCAATAAAACAAAACACTTTTAAACAATGAAGAACTTGTTGTTTCATAAAGTTTCTCACTCTGCAACTTTCACAATTGTGTGATTTTTAACAGAAGTCTGGGGATATCACAGTTACTAGTTCTATGATAGTCAGCTGGGTGTATGGGCGGGACCTCAATACCGTGGCGCCGACCCCGATCACTAATGCACCGACTCAGAATTACGCCACCAAAGTAACCAGGACATCTTGGCTTCATTTTTGCACACTGGGTGGAAAGTGAGGCATCTTTTACTTGTCGAGTGGGCACTGTGGCATTATGGTGCCCAGTGTGAGGCCAGCAGTACTCAGTGTTGTGTTAATGGAGGTCAGAGCGGTGTGTGTGCAGCTCCTCAAACCAATAACAACTTTTGATGAAAGCCTTGAGGGGGATGGTGTGATTTCCAGGGTCAGAGCATTAAAAATACAGAAATTCAGCCCTATTTTTCTAATTATTTTGGAAGGCAGGGAAAAAATATGTAAAATTATGTGGATCTTCAAGGTTTAACAGCATTAAAGTTTGTTTGTGTGTGTTTGTATATTTTCATCCTTTTTCCTAAAAAGCACAATTCTGCTTTGAGAAAATTGCTGTAGATATAAAATATGAACCATATTTGAAGAATACATCCTCTGGCAGACCTGAACCAGGAGACAGCACACACTCCATAATTACTTATTAATGTTTCTGGTTATATCCACCTTCAGCAGACCTTCAGCAGCCCCGCAGGACGAACGCAGCTCTGTTTCAACTTTTCTTCAGTCATCGCTGGTCAGAGTAAAATTCCACTAATTAAGATGAAATAAATCCCCATTCGGCTGCCCGACTGTGTGATGTTCAGCTGTGGTTTATTTCCTCTCAGCATCACAGGAGCTAATCTCTGCTTCCTGCCCATTCTCTGTTTGCCTGTTGATCTCTTAATGGTAGATGTTTTCTTACTGAGGAGGCGTGTGGCGAATCGCAGCTGAGTCATTCACATCCTGGAAGGAGAAACATGTTTAAGGTTTATCCGACTGCAGCGTCTATACATTATTGTACGTCAGAACGTGTCACGAAATCCACTTTAGAAGCACACAGAGCGTTTTCGACACCCACAGGAGCAGAAAATAGAGCAGAATGCAGTAGCGAGGAGGGTTTGAGTGGCAATTTCTCAGCTGGCGAGGACACAACCGATCTCTACTACTCTCGCCCTCTCAGCTCCAACGACACAGAATGAGCATTTCTGTGCTTTTCCTGTTCTGTCATAATGCATAGCTGAAGGCCTGTCTGTCTCTCGCTCTCTCTCTCTCTCTCTCTCTCTCTCTCTCTCTCTCTCTCTCTCTCTCTCTCTCACCCCAACTGGTCGAGACAGACGACCACCCACCTAGAGCCGGAGGATCTGTCCTAGGTTTCTGCCTTTTAACAGGCAGTGTTTCCTTGCCCTTGTCGCCAAGTGCTTGCTCATGGTGGTACTGTTGGGTCTCTGTAATTAATGTTAAAGAGTTCGGTCTAGACCTGCTCTATTTGAAAAGTGTCCTGAGATAACTTCTGTTATGAATTGGCGCTATACAAATAAAATTGAATTGAATTGAATTGAATTGAAGGCAACAAGTTTACATCTGCTCTCTGGGGATTGCATTCTGGGAAATACAGGAAAGCCCTTACGAAGGCAGATGAATCAGCTTTAAAAGAGCTTTTCTTTTCTTAGCTAAGTGGCTGTGGCTCAGATCCCCAGCTCCTCTCGTGTCCTTGAACAAGACACTGAACCCCAAGTTGCTCCTGTTGCTGTGCATCAGTGTATGAGTGTGTATGAATGATTAGTTTCCATTCTGGTGAGCAGTTGACACCTTGCATGCCAGCCACTGCCATCAGTGTATGAATGTCTGTGAATGGGGTGAGTGTGGCATGTAGTGTACAGCGCATTGAGTGGTCGAGGACTAGAAAGGAGCTATATAAGTACAGTCCATTTACCATTTACTTTCAAAGGGATCCGTTGACCTCTGACCTCAAGATATCTGAATGAAAATGGGTTCTATCAGAACCTACGAGTCTCCCTTTTGAAGAAATGCCCACTTTATACTAATTGTTTAACTTCCAGAACCAAATCCCTGAATTCCCTACAGAAATCTCCAAAATGAAAAATTAGGCAATTCTTTCATGCGTCCCTCTCTTGATGAAGTCGTTTGTTGCTTTGTTTCTCTTCTCGTGCACTGATCCACTTAAGCTAAACTGCCACTCAGAGCGATTTCCCCGCCGACGGTCTTCGCTGCCATTTCAAAAGCTCAGACAGCCAGAAAAAACTCAGACGAGGGTTGACGAGTGTGAAACACACAGCAGAAACTAAAGCTACCGACGCTCACCGACGGATGGTCCCGGTGTGGCTGGGCCTTTAGACCGAGCTGTAAAATAATCTGTAACTTTGTAATGACACCAAATACTTTTGGTGTCTTATAAACCCACATTGGAAACATTGTGTGCATGACATGAAAATCAAATAAAAAATGTGTTTGAACTGGAATCACACTCATGTATCATGAACATAGTGACAGTTTCCTGGCAGTTATGAATCTTTGTCTGTCTACTTGCCCGTGTTTTAGTATCAACAGAACCCCTAATTTTCCACTTTTTTATCAGACTTGAAAACTACTGAGTTTTCAAATTCTTTTTATATCCTTTTCCTGATTTATAAAGTTGTAACTACCTTTTCTTGCAATCTTTGAGACCATAAAACTCATCAGGAAACTGTTTACTGAGCTCATAAATCAGGTGAGAAGTTGCCTCATTTCTCCATAAGACTGAATGCTATCTATGTGGTGCAGCCAGTGGAGCAAAAGTTTTCTGCATATTTTCCAAACAATAATATAATATTTCATATGTAAATTTATGAGCACAACTGTAAACTGCAACCTGACTTGTTGGTGGAGGGAAACAACCTATCAGTGGTATTTCTAATTCTAACACAACCAGACTCAGTGAGCTCTGACAGAAAGGAGGAGGGATGAGTCCTGTATCTGTCCGGCCCCTCAGAGACTTCCCCTCCACATGGCATCCCAGCCCGGATCCTCGATCCACTTCCATTACGTTTCTCATCTTACAGCGGCCTGGATCAGTTTCCCGAGCTGAGCAACGGAGCTCAGACCGCCACCCGCCCGCTGCCACAATGGTGAGATAATTACTGTGTCCTCTTTGAAGCTTCACGCTGTCATCCAGGTTTCACCTGCAACCTACTTTCTGCCTTTTCACTGCTCACTCACGCTGTTTCCCTCCTTTCATCCCAGGCGAAGTTCCTGACACAGGATCAGATTAATGGTAAGGCTCTCATACATTTCACATTACAGTTGAGGAGGCTGGTAGTCAATTACTGCCTCCAGTTAGAGGAATAAAAACTTTTTCTGATGACTTTCTCTTAGTATAAACGTTTCTGTGTCACAGACAAACAATAATCAGACAGTTGAGTACAAAGAAGCGCTTGTTCCAGCAGAGATCGTTTGGCCGGCCTGCTAATGTGATCAGATACAAAGGTTCTTTATCTGAGCGCAGTTTTTATCCTAATGAGTTATACTCAGATTATTGTCAGAGAGGAGAGAGCAGTTACTGTTCCTGTGATACTGTTATTGGTTCGTTATCTCTTTAGGGTTCAGTACTTTTAACGAGGGCTGTGCACGAGAGTGGAGACACTGTTTCCAGCAAAGCTTCAGTTAACAGATTTACAACTTTAAAATCGGACCATCGAAAGGTTCTTGGTACATTTAGATCCATCCAGTGATCTGCGTAACCAATCAAAACGTTTAATTGTTGATGGATCTGCTGATTATTTTGTAGTTTAATAGATTAATTATCTGGTTTGTTGTTTCAGAGTTTAAGGAGTGTTTCTCGCTATATGACCGCAAACGTAAAGGGAAGATCGAAGCCCGGGAGCTGATCACAGTGATGCGATGCCTCGGATCAAACCCCACCCCGGCCGAGGTCCATCGACACCTGCTGAGCCACGGCATAGGTACCTGTTTCACCTGTCCCACCTGTCCCACCTGTCTGTCTGTGGTCCTAGTTTTTACCATCCACAGCAGTTAAAAGTCTACAGGAGACTGTCTGCCAGGGCCCTCTAGTGGCTGTATTAAATATAATGAGAGCAACGGAGTCAGTCAGGGGATGTTATTATAGAATGACAAACATTGGTATATAACAGAACTATATCATCCACATATAAAAGATGTCTGTCTCCACTTCCTATCACCTTCCTCCAAAGTGATCGGGGGTTGGCGCCGCGGTACCGAGGTCATACGCCGACAAAGACATACAAGACATTCAACATAGAAAACTAAAACCAACACAGTCCTGAAACACATTTCCACAAAATATAAAATGCCTTAAATAACGATGCTGCAGTTTATCAATCAGTTCCTTAAATCCCATAAAACCTGACTTCTATCAGCCACTCTCATATTTAAAGACTTGATGTTTAAAGGAAGTTTCTTCCAAAATATGGCTGCATTACTCAGCTGATGTCTGATAAAAACTGTTTTTATTTTAAAAAAATCTTTTTAGTTCTATGATGAAATCTTAAGAACATGAAATGGGTGCAGAGAGATATATAAATATATAAATATATTGAGAGTCATTGTATGATTATATTATACAGATTGTATCAGAACCTTCTCACAGTGTGACAGCCGATAAACCTGCCGGATATTTGTTGTCTCACGGCGTGTCGGAGGTCTTTGGTTGTGACATCCTCAAAGATTTATTACTTTTGTGGGTTTTTGAGATATAAACTTTTCAAGAGAAGTTTTTACAGACGATGTCTTCAAAGTGTTTCACAGTTAAAACCGCAAAGATTTTCAATTTACAAATCTGAGAAGCTGCACGTTTTGTTTGATCAGCAGCTTAAATATTTAAAGCTTCTCTGTGTAACTTTCAGAAAACCACTGAACCGTTGCTACTAACTAGCTCGCCGTTTACAAATCAGCCCATCAGCCAACACCACGAAGCAACCAACGCCAGACCCACAATGCAACGCCAAGACACAGCCAGACAGACAACCCCAGTTAGCTTAGCTACAGTTAGCTAGCTGGATGCCCCTCCCTCACATCAGTCTCGGCTAGTAGAAAGCTATAGTTAGCTTTATACCGCTACATCATTTATTTATTGCTAAAAAATCAGCACTGTTTGTCAGAATACATAAGTTAGCATAATGGATCACGTTAGCTGGGGAAGCTAACACCTCAATCAAACAATATGTTCCACTAGCTTAGCATTAAAGTTTAGCTTTGACTTTGGACTGTGTCTGTGTTTTGTAGATGTTAGCAGACTCTATTTATAAGCTAGTCCAGTCCAGTTCTGCATTAAAATGGCGTCTGCGTCTTCACATTACAGCACATGTCATCACTTTGTGTGACATTACATCAACAGAAACAAAAGATTCCTGTGAGTCACTGCTGGGCAGAATTACAAATAAAGCAAATGATAATCAAACAAGACTCCCTGCGGTGAACCAGAGCGAACACACACACTGTGTTCATTTTCACGGCTCCTGTCTCATCTTGTTTCAGCTCTTTTCCATCACCATCATTGTCTCTGTACACGCTGTCATCATCCATGCTTGTTGTAAGATCACAGGAATATACAGCAGGAGGTTCAGTCTTACATAACGGCAGCAGTGTAAACCTCTGCGCCGACTGCACAACCTTCTACATCTTTAATATCACTAAATATCACCCAAACCAACAATGTGTGTCGGCTGCATGTTAATGTTCACACATCAACCTTTTACCATCCACTGTCCTTCCTGCAGGACGCTAACACTGCACATAAAACATTCACAGGCCTGAATATAAATAATAATAACGCCCCAAAGTTAACAAAATTTTGGGCAATGGACAAACAATTCTCAAAGGGATCCTCTGACCTCTGACCTCAAGATATCTGAATGAAAATGTTTTTATGGGAACAAACTAGTCTCCCCTTTACAGACGTCCTCTGTGACTACATTTTTGTTGATGGCCATGTTTTTTAAATGATTTATAATAGAAATGTGCATCTGTATAAAACTCTACAGGATTTGGTTTTTATTGAGCCAAAATAACAAAAGATGTCAGTTTACAGTTTTTCCGTTTATGCTAATTAGCAAATAATTTAAGTTTTTTTGCACCTTCAGCTGGACGTCTGTGTCCAATTTCAAGTCAATTGGACTTACGATGTGAAGGGCGTGGCCTTTCTGAAATGTAATTACTGTTAGTAAAAGTAAAATCTGTCAGTGTTATAAATGTTTAAATTTAAAATTGTTCTGATTATTCTTTAAAACCAGTAAGATAAAGAGAGGAAGCAGCAGGAGGTCGAGCCGGACCAGTTTTTCTTCCATATTCCTGAAAAGTTAATAAAGTTTCCCCCATTGACATCATCAATATATTAATTTTATTTTTTAATATTTCTGTCTGTACACATAAAGGCTGCAGATATTTGACTTTCTCTTGTGTTATCTTTATGTGATATATTTAAATGAGTGTGAATGTCCCAGCTGTAATTAAAAGTTTCCACTCGTATTCGACATGTTTAAACTGCCACCAGTTTATCTAACAGATCGCTCTTTACATTCTGTTTTACTGCTCCACTGTTTGAACAACTTATTTCATATTCTGTCATATTACTCTTCCTCCCCCCCCACGCTGAATCTTTAAACTCCTCCTTGTGCAGTGTCCTCGTTTCTCCTGCAGAGATCATTAACGTTTCATCTTATCTATTCATCTGGTGACATTATGGATGATCGGCGCGGTCTGGTGAAAGTGAGATCTCTTTCCTGCAGATTGGAGCGGAGAGCTGGACTTCTCCACCCTGCTGAGCATCATGCACCGGCAGCTCCAGCAGGAGGCGCCGGAGGAGGAGATCCTGGAGGCCTTGAAGATGGCTGACAAGGAGCAGAAAGGCTTCATCCTCGCTGCCGAGCTGAGAGCCAAACTCACCGGGTTGGGGGAGAAACTGACTGACAGGGAGGGTGAGAGCGCTAAACAACCAATATTTTATCTTTAATATCTGGCATTTCATTTATTACGACACCATATTTTGAATCCTCCGGGTTCCTGTCAGGTTTTAATCCCTCAGTGTTTTATTTTGCTGTTACCAAACACATTATCTTGGCTCTATTATTCTTCAATTTAATCCTGTTAAGTGAAACCTTCTGTTGGACATCCACAGAATTTAAGTCTGGTGGGGATTTTCATTACTGCGATAATGTGGAAAAGTAGAGGTAGAAAAGAAATGAAGATAACAGTCACATTTAATGAGATTATGTTTTAGTTGCAGTCGGGAGTCAGACAGCAGCAGAATAAACCTCTTCTTTTTAAAAAAAAGTGAGAATGTGTCAGTGAGGTGAAAATATCCTGTTTCCAGTTCAGTGATAAAGCAATGTATTCACATGAAAAACAAAATGTCTGCCCTGTTATTTCTGAATGAACGAGTGGATGATGATGAGAACAATGTACAGTGACTTTCAAAGGTAGAAAATCATTGATTGATTGACGGCCGTGTCGCTCTGTTTCTAGTGGACGAGCTGCTGAAGGAGGCGGGTGTTGGACCCGACGGGCGGGTCTACTGCGAGCAGTTCGCTAAAGCGGTGACGCGCTCGTCTGCAAAGCGCTGACGTCACAAACATCATGGCGTCTCCCGAAGACTTTAAAAGAACTGTGTGTTTTGTTTGTTAAATAACGTTTCGATTGCACTATTTCTTCATCACCGGGATTCCTTACTCTTCCTCTGATTGGCTAGTGTTTGTTGGCTAGGTTAGCGTTAGCCAACCAGAGGCAAAGTTGGGGCAACAAGTTCTTCAACCGCCGTTTTTAAAACATGTAAAAGCTTCAAAACTTACAGGTGAGGTATTAAATAATGGATTTATGTCGTAGTATAAAACGTGAACATGAAGGGTTTATAGGACTCGTTCCTGGGTAAACAAAGTAATAAAGAAACATATTGTCCGAATAAACAAACAACAATCTTTTTCTATATACGTTTGTGTGGAACCTGTTATACCATGCTAACAGTTATGCTACCAACATATCTTGTTCTGGTTTGAAAACGAGCTGAAAACATGAAAATAAGTCAACTGGAGACAAACTTTTAAATGGAGATTAACATTAGAACCACCAGGGGTCGCTGTGTACCTTAAAACCACCAACGTATGTGTATGTGTATATCGGTATTTCATAATGTAATTGATGGATTCAGGTCCAAATCTTGATATTTTAGTGAAAAGTATTTGACATATTGTGTTATAAATATGCCCCCTGCTGGTTGAAACCAGCTACTGCAATCAGTGCCGAAGGCTGTTGCAGAAAACTGTGATTTATTTAACACCAACACCTTAGTCAGAGTTCAGTTCCCAACCTGGGGGTCCCGTCCCCCAGTAGGGGTCACCAAAGCTTCAAAGGGGGTCGCAAGGCCTTCTTGATTTTAAGGGGTGTAGGAAAACTACTTAAAAACAATATCTCAGTATTTAATTCATTTCTGTACAAAAAATTTAAATTGTTGATACTATTATTTAATATCTAAACTTTGAACACAAACTATATTCAGAGCTTCAGTCTTTGATAAACTCGTCATGAAGCAGAAAAAAGAAGATGAAAACAGTAAATCTGTCAGAAAGAAGAATATTAAGTCTGATTGTTAAAAATGATAAAAAAAATACAGAATATAGACAGAGAATGGATCAATATATCAGGAAAACTCATCTCTGATCAATATTCACAGGAAATAATCAAACTTCCTGCAGTGATTGAGTTCACTGTTTGTGTTTATTGATCAGTTGATCAGCTGTTTTCTGCTGTTATTGATACTGAAGTCTATAAGTAAAGAAAATAAAAATTTTGAGCATTAATTTAATAATAATCCTAATTATTGTTGATGTGTGAGAGCAGAAAGCGACAATGGGGTCGGGGATTAGCAAAAGGTTGGTTCAGTGTAGTTTCAAAGCATTTAACAATATATTACATATATAATATAATATAATATCGTTTCATTCGTTACAGGAGACATTTTCATTAGAGATCATTGTTTCATCATCCTGAGGCCTGCTGCAATAATCCCTGCGAAGTTTCAGTTCTTCCTGCATGATGACATATTTGCTCTGCAAGCAGAAGTGTTTTATGAAGGCAAGATTATTCCTCTGTAAACCTTCCTGTCATTTCCTGTTAGTGGAGCTTCACGCGTGGAAAACCCATCAGCCGGTTCTGACTTTGCTGCAGTGATAATACAAAACGCTGGAAGCTTTCTGTTGTAATTCGCAGTGACACATCTTCTGGTTTCATGTAAACCCCGGAGGACAGTGTGGATTATATTGCTCTGTCAGGTCTGAACCTGTTTGCGAGGGACGCTGTGAAGCTCCTTCGTTGTAATTCGCAGTGAATCACAGACTGTTGGAGGCCGGCTGAATGACTCTCAGCACCAACACCTCGGGGCTTCGCCGGCCTGTTGCCTTTGACCTTGTTAACGCAGATTATCGGACACTTCACCCGTGAACGGAGACTTTACGCCGCATTTGTCTTTAGTGGGTCTGAATAAAGTGAACTCACTGGAGGGAACTCTTTATGTGCTTACTGAGCCTTTCTGTCTTTCAATACAACAGATATCTGAGTGAGGTTGGGGTTAATCCAATCTGCTCGCTGAAGAGTGAAGTCGGTATTTTGCCGCCAGGAACTGGATCCAGAATTAGAAACTACAGGAACACAAACCTTCAAAGACACTGAACAAAATGTATTAGAGTTTGAATTTACATAGTTCTGACCATCGTTTATTCTAACCTTTTACTGAAGTATGAGTCTGAGGTTTCCACTCATACACAATCTGTGTAACTCAAACAGTGTTTAGAAAAAAACTAAACTAAAAACAAGAACTGGACGTTTCTTTGCCCCAGATTAAATGGGATTAACAAAGTGTCTGCAAAGGGGGAGACTGTTGGGTTCCCGTAGATTGTCATTCAGATATCTTAAAGTCGGAGGTCAATGGATCCCTTTGAAAATGACCATGGCAGATTTTCCCATCGCCACAATTTAGCCTAACTTACTTACTAACGAGCATTATGTAGCCTCCTTCCCGACACGGTTGATACCAATGATGCGTTCGGTCCTCTAGTTTCATATCATACCAGGATCTTCACTCTAGCTTTAAAGCGGAGCCCGCTGCAGCCTCAGAAACACAGTGTGGAGTGGAAGGAGTAAAGATAAGGGGGTGGCAAATCAGATTTCAGGGGTGGGTCTTTATTGATCCGCCAAAGTTTCATCCTGATGAAATAAAAGGATTTATTCCTGGGTGGTGCCTGTTCTTAAATCTCTACTGCCATCTAATCAAAGGAAACCATCCCAGCCCCTGTATGGTGCTGTACTGGTCAGACTGGTTTATGTGAACATGAGTTACTGGATGAACAGTTTAAGCTTTTTCAGTCTGAGACCAATGATTTATATTAAAGTCTTTTCCTTAAAATCCCACCGACTGTTTCCCTTCATCATTCTGCACAAAACTCAGTAATTTATCCTGTAAAGAGATAAAATCAGTTAGGAGCTGATGTACCACCCACAATGTAACCACCAGACAGCACACAAGAAGTCCTCCCTCGCTCTCTGCGCTGCAGAGGTCAGACCCGACGCAGGCTGTATTTCTGAGCCTATGACCTGCAGTACCGGCGGCGTACAAACAGCAGGGGGTGTCTGTTTGTCATCAAACATTACTTCTACTACTTTCTGTAGATAATTAATTAATTATTCTGATTTTAACCTCCAAAGAAACTGGCGTTCTGAGATAACATCCTAATTATCATCCTTTAAATTATCAAACATAATTTACTTCACAATGAAAACTGATGTCTCGTATCAGGAGATAACAGTTGAGTATCTTTAATCACAAGCTTGTTACTCTGAGGGGCGTCCAGGAGGAACCAGAGAGGAGTTAATGAGGTAATTTAACCCACGCACAATGCTCCTTTTATGACAACTGTTGGTTATCTCCACCTAATGAGATGAATCTGATTTAATTGTGATCACGTGGTAACGGTCGAGGTAATGAGATCGTTCTTTTCAATCGTTATCTTTAAAAGCTGAAACTCAAAAACAGGTTTGTTATCACAATGAAATCAGATCATTATGGAGGCTAATTCCAGCCAATGTGACCACAAAGGAAAGAAAAGGATCCTGAGAGAAACTCTCAAAATAATGAGAAAGTTTCTCATTATAATGATTTACATGATCCTTATGGCTTCCATAGATAATGAAGATAATGAGAAAGTAATGAAAAAGTGCTTCGTTATAATTAATATTGTGAGTTAAGGAGGAAAATATATATATATATATATATCTATATAAAAACAGAAAAACCAGAACAGAAAATACTGTTTATGTCAAATAAAACTTCTGTTTCAGGATCTGATTATATTTAACGTAAAGAATTAAATGAAAAAATCTGCTTTTTATGTATAAATGTTTGATAAATGTCAATTAATATGAATACAATCACCAAAAACACGACAGAAAATTGTGATTTTGCTCATTTAGATTAACTATTATAATGAAAAAGTGCTTTGTTATTAACCACCAAGGGTGAACCAATATAATCCATATAATCAATATATATTGATGTCATTTTCTACATTTTGACTATTCGACCTCCGCCCTGAGTGGATATAAAGCAGTACACTGTAAAACCTGACCACACTCACTCATTCACATTAAGATGTGATTATATTTATGTCTCTTTTATCTTTTAACCAGCACAGATTAGCTTAGCATGTAGCATATCTGAGTACAGGAGAGGAGGTTTTCTGCTCGTAGGATATTAATTTGTGGATTTTTGGTTGTTGTTGGTTAAATGTTAGTGTGGGTGATTTATTGTGACCTTTGCTCTGCAGCCTCGAGGTGAACTGAACATTTCCAACAGGTCAGAATCTATAAATAACAACAACCTCCATTATGCTGTTTGTCCTGTGTCGACGGTTACAGCCTCAGGGGGGCGCTACAGGGGCTTCTGAGACCTCCAGTTTACACTCTTTACATTTGAACATGTGATTTGGGAAGGTGAGTAATGGCAGTGAATGTAAACACGAAGGGAGTAAATGGGCTGTGTCTGTTAAATCTGACCTCATTAAAAACTGTACTCATCTGCCGACGCCGTAATGGGCGGCTGTACTTTCACACAGACCACGAGTTCCCTTGTTTCTGGGCCGTTTGCAGCTTTATGTGATGAAAGATTCATGGAGCCGCCTCTGCAAGCTCGTAAGGGAGGAGCAAAGTCCACCTCGCTGTTTATAGGCCGGACTGTCTTTACATAACGTGCCTCTCTGTGTCCTGTCCTGGTTTTATTCATGTAGTCCCAGTTTGTCCTCTTTATGTGAGGAGCTCTCTGCATAAACAGTCTGGCTTTCTGAGCGCTCATATAAACACTTTCACCTGATTAAGGTTCAATTATAGCAGCAGAAGTAAATCAGAAGTTTCAGCCGGGAGTCAAACAGTCTCATGAGTTATTTTATCTTCGTTTACGTGAACAGATCCACTGTTACTGCCTGTATTTATGACATTAGGCTCCATTTCATGGGAAACTTGAGCTCATTTATACAAATGTTTTAATATTATTAGTTTTACACACATTACACTCCAAAATGATCAGGAATGTAAATAATGTGGAGCTGCTCAAAGGTGGGGTCCGCCATGAGTTACGAGTCTGGTGGAAAAACTTCTACAGTGTGATGTCTGAATGATGTTTGAATGTCTGACACCAGAAGGATGTTTTGCGATTCATCCGCTGAAAGTGGAAAGTTTCTCTCATTGAACGTCTGATTTTAAGGGGCTAACTAGCTAGCTAATCTATTTTAACCCTTTAAGCACCAAAGTCGCAAAATTGCGACACGACGCGGTACTGAATCAAACAGCTGTTTTCTCTCTCTCTGTATATGTCGTTCATACTCCCCTCCACTAGTTGGCAGACATCCCGTACTTAGACCTTAGCTCAGAAATACGTCATGCTTCAATGCAAAATGTTCGAGGAAGTCCCGTCCAAACTGAAATAGTGTACGAAGCTATTTATGCTGAAGCGGTATTGCTGGATTTAGGAGTTATTGAGATGAAATAAACGAAAATGACAAGCAGGAGTTGACGCTTAGGGAAATGATGGATCTCCTATTTGCTGATCCTGATTCTGAAGGGGAAAATCTTCCTTTGGGAGATGACGGTCGGTCGATTAGTGAGCAAAATCATAATAAACGCCTACTGTTTACATAATAATAATAATAGTTCTAGTTTACGACTGTTGGCTTACAATTTACTTTTACCTGTTCATTTGATATGTGGACAACATAAATAGATGGATGGGGGTGAATCTGATGAAATAAGTTCAACTCTCTTTTAAAATATTCATGGAAATAACATAATCCAATATGGCCGCCGCCATATGACGTCATAATATGCAAATTAGATGGGAACATTTAATCCCTAGATAAACTTTAGGTCATTCTCAATATTTGCCTCATTTACACTTTGTCTCTATCTCAAACTACTTTCAAGCTGGAGCCTCCTGAAATTTAGATTTTAATTTCTGCTCCTGATGCTGCAGTAAAGCTTTGTGAGTCTGGTTGGAGGTGACGACCAGAATAGATTCTAATATAAAAAATCAGTAAATAATAAAGTTATTTTATCCTTGTTTCCTTCAGCAGATCTGCAGCCGCTCACTGCAAACATCTCTGGGTCAGCTGGGAAATTATCTGCTTTTTATTCTCAATATATTTCAGTGAAGAAAGTTAAAGAAAGTCCAAACAAAAGTGTAGTTATTAAAAATATAACTGAACGTAAACTTTCACTGCAACAAACCAGTTCAGACTCCAGTTCTGATCAGATATGGATCCAGATTCTGTTGTTGACTATTTCTCTCCTCAAATCTGTTCACAAACACATTTTACTGTTTATCTGGAATATTTAAGATCTTATGGGTTGGGTGGTTGAAAGCAGCAGATCAAAAACCCAACTCTGCCCGACTCAGTTTCCAATGAAAATTCGTCGATGTAAACTGATGTAAAGCTGATTTAATGGATGCCTTCATTTCTGCAAAGGATACAAACACTGAAAGGTGAGGTCTGTATGAGGCCTGTATGAGGTCTGTATGAGGCCTGTATGAGGTCTGTATGAGGCCTGTATGAGGCCTGTGTGAGGTCTGTATGAGGTCAGTTTGAAGGCAGATCCAGAGTCAGCTGGTTCTGGGTTTGGTTCTCTTAAAGCTGAAATTATTGATCAATAGACAGAAAATAAATCAATAAATATAATAAATAAATAAATAATTAAAATAAATATCTGAGTTTTAGGCCAAATGATGATAAACATTAAATATTATCTTTACTTTTATTAGGACTCATTATATGAACACTGATGTTTTACATTAATATCAATATATAAGTATATATATAAGTCCAACTCACATCCATATAAACTCCATTTTACTGTAGTTGATTTAATTGAGTTTATAATGTATTTAAATTGTATTTCCCAACATGAAGGTCTGAATATGTTATTCACAGCATTCGCCTGAAATAATAAATACTGTCTGTATTTATTTATTTGCCCAAAAGTAGTTTAAATATATAAATGTGTATATTTGTATAATAAAACCTCCACACATAAATGCTGAGGAGGTAAATGTCCTCAATATGTATATATAATGTGACTAAAATAATAACAATTTAATATTAGAAACTCTTTCTGATCATTGAAAATCAGATTTTATGGGGCTAACTACAATAAATGTAAATAAGGTAAATAGCTAGCTAATCTACATCAATCGACAGCTGGCTAGTTTCATCTGAAACTAATGTTAGCTAACTAACGATTCATGTAAATTAGAAGATAGTTAGATTTTAACTAACATTAGATTTCAATAACTAACTAGCTAACGATTGATGTCGATCATTGAGATACTTAGCAAGCATTTTGCTAACATTAGCTAACGTATAATGTGACTATGCATATGTGTCTCTTTGAACTATTTTCAACATCGCAACTTTTTAGAAAAGCTGCAGTGACATCAGACATTTTAGGGTAAAATAATCCCCAAAAAAACAATGAAATCCTGAAGGGACTGAATAATATAAATAAAAACTGACAAACATTTGCGGTTAATAAATGTATTGTTTTAATCGGTTCCTGTTTCTGCTTGAAAAGTGAATTTATTTCATCGTTAACTGCGGAAATTAACACGTATGATTTAATGATCTGTTCCACATTCAACGTTATATTGATAACACGTGTTTCTGCCCCCCTGTGGACACTCTGTGCAATCAGCTGGCTGCTGTCAACCAATCAGGGTCCAGGGCTATAAATATTTATATTAATGTAAAGAATTAACCTTTAACTAAGTTACAATAGTTGGAAAGAATCATGAGACGCTTTTTTTTAATATTATGAGTCCGAATCAGCAAATAAATTCAACCAATTACAGTGAAATTCTGCAACTTTCCATAAATTTGACGAATCGTTGAAGTTTCAGAAACAACAGAATCCCCAAATCGTTGAGTCACCAAACTATTAGAGAGTTTATTCTCACTGGAAACAGTCTTTCATTTTTAATTCATTATTTTTAAAGATCTGAATTATTTCCATGACTTTTTGCTTCTTTGGTGCAAAAAAAAGCCTAAAAAAACCTGGTGTGAAATCAGACATTTTAGGGTAAAACAATCCCAATAAAAAAGCCTGTGAAATCCTGGAGGGACTAAATAATATAAATAAAAACTAAATATTTAAGATTATTCATTTGGTCCCTAAATAAAAAAAAAGTAAAAGAAAAAACAAGTCGAGACCTTCAAATTAAAAGAAAAGCAGCATATTTAATCAGTTCATGTTTCCTATTTTTTGCTCGAAAAGTGACAGTAATTACAGAAATTAACTTAAGTAGCTTTAAATTCACTGAAAAAAGACATTCATTTGGAAATAAAACAAGATAATCCTGATACCTGCAGTGCTTCATTAATGTACCACAACACAACAACACAGGTGAGTTCCAATATCTTCACTTTGAATATTTATATATTTTAATATATTGTAATTAAATCAGTGATACCCTCTGGGCCCCCTGTGGATGCTCCTGTAGATCCGCCCCTGAATACTTTACAGTCAGACTCTTAAACCTGAAACCGATTTTTACCTTTCTGAGAATAAGCTCCGGTTCCTCCACAGGCCAACAATCAGCTGCACAACCCAGACTGAACACAAACCAAATCATTTTATTCTCCATACATCGTTTTTAAGGTTGCATTGGCAGGTTTTTCTTTCTTTTTTTTTTTTACATTCACTTACTCAAAGCGTGGACATTTTACACATCAGCCACAACAAACGTCAATAATACTCCACAGAATGAAGTCCCTGCGCACGGACAGCTCTTCAGAGCGGGAAGCAGCACTGGATGAGACACTGAGCTCGAACTCCATTTATAGTAAAGAGAGAAAACAACACGATGAGCAGCGCAGGGTGACAGATCCCAGTCGGACTGAAGCGGGAACGGAACCGGATGGTTTTACGCACCGGTGCGTAATTTACGCGCGAATGTTATTTTTCTCCTTTTATGTTTCACATCTTTAAACTGTGATAAAATGTATAAAATCCATTTGATGCAGAGTCAAAAAAACATCTAATAACGCCACAAACAGCTGAGACCCGGTTCTGTGTGGTTCTGACACCAGGCGATGGGTTCTGGCACAGAAGCTCAAACAACCTCCAGCAGCGCTGAAGTCTAAAGAACTTCCTGGTGAGGCGGACTGAGAGGAACCAGGTCTCGGATCAGTCTACTTCTGCAGCGCGTCCGTGTCGCACTGGTCCGTCAGAACCGACAGTCTGCAGTTCTCCGTCTCCACGTTGTTGAGCGGGATCACGATGTGCGAGTCGTCCGGTTCCGCTCTCACGGTGCCGGAGAACGGCCGCAGGGGGCACGAGTTCGTCCCTGTGGGCGAGGAAATCCTCCAGAACAGATCCTTCATCTTCTTCCGGAACTCGCGGCGCATGAGGCAGTACAGCACCGGGTTCAGGCAGCTGTTGGTGTGCGCCAGGCACACGGTCACCGGGTGGACGTACGTGTGCACCATGTAGTACGTCTTGTCCCAGTTCACCACGTTGAACTTGACCAGGACGCCCCAGAAGGTGATGGCGTGGTTGGGCATCCAGCAGATGAAGAAGGAGAGGACGACGATGGTGACGGAGCGGGTGACCCGGGACCGGCGCTTCACCTGGTTGTTGTTCATGCTGCGCAGGCGGACGAAGCGCAGCAGCAGCAGGTAGCACACGGTGACGATCAGCATCGGGAACACGAAGGCCACCAGGATCTTCTGGAGGTGGTACAGCGCCAGCCAGGACTGTCCGTCCGGGAAGCCCAGCAGGCACAGCCGCTCCCCGGCCACGCTCTTCACCGTGGAGAAGATCGCGGTGGGCAGAGAGGCCACCGTGGCGGACACCCAGAGCCCCGCGATCACCCAGCGCACCGGGCACACCCGCCGCCGGGTCCGGTCCTTCAGCGCGGACGCCACCGACCAGTACCGGGTGATGCTCATGGCGGTGAGGAAGAACACGCTGGCGTACATGTTCATCACCGTCACGGAGAGGATGATCTTACACATGGCGTTCCCGAACGGCCAGCTGAAGTCCAGAGCCGTGTCCACCGCCCAGAACGGCAGCGTCAGCACGAACTGGAAGTCCGTGACGGCCAGGTTGAGGATGAACAGGTTGATACTGGAGCGTTTCTTCCGGCCGCGGCGCACCTTCATCAGGAAGAAGACCAGCAGGTTTCCGACCAGCCCGGCGGCGCACACCACCGAGTACACGATGGAGATGAGGATGCGCAGGGTCGGGGATCCGTCCGCAGGCACGTCGATGTCATCCAGGCTGCTGAACCGCTCCTGACCCGCAGCGGACCGGTTCCAGGAGGTGTTGTGGCTCCACAGCTCCGCCATCCTCTCCGGTAACAGAGCCGACCCGAGACCCGCAGGGCGCATCACCTGGTGCGCTCCCGGAGAGAAGCAGCTCCCAGCGCCGTCCGGAGCGCACGCTTCCCGCCGCTCATGTTAACCCCGCGCTCACTTTGCTCTCCTGGATCTGGACTCACCGGAGCTGCTCTCACCGCCGCCGGTCACCGGTTCACTGCTGAGCCCCGTGCGCGCGCAGCTCGCTTTATATGGCGCTGGTGCACAAGGAAGCGCGTTCCCGAGCGGGGGACTGTCGTGTCATTTGAAGACTAAAGTACAGGAGCGAGAGACAGGAGGCAGGGCCGGACCGGGAGGGTTCTGGGTCTTCAGTGCCCCCCCAACCCCCCAGCCTTTAACAGCAGGAAGAATCAGATAAAGTTTATATTATATAATAAGTAATATATATAAATAATAATCTGTTTATTTAAAATAAAAACAGAGATTTAAACACGCAGTCGACATTTACACGTAAATAAATAAACCTTCTGAGCTGAAAACAACGTAATTTTTACGAGCAATCAACTTAAAAACTTGTGTTTATATTTGAAGTGATAATTAAATAATAATAATTTTATTGAAGAGGAAAAGTTAATTCCCTGAACTTAATGTAGCTCGTTGGTTGAACATTATTTAATTAGAACTTTCCACAACTCAAAAAGATGTTTATTTATTATTTATACAAAACTGTCTTTATTGTTTTTTTGGTTTTTTTGGCTCAACATAAAACTGTAACAGAAATTAAGTTCAACCAACGAGCGGCGTTGAGTTCAGTGAATTCACTTTTCCTCTACAATCAATAAACACCAGTTTTTAAGTTGATTAATCATAAAAATTATCTTGTTCCAACGAGTCAAATGAATGTTTCCTACTCAGAAGGTTAATTTAAATCAACAAATCATAAGTTTTATGTTAGAACCATTAATTTATTAAAGTGATAACAGTCTATGAAAGTATAATAACGGACTCAACCTGTTCATTTAAGATAAAAACTGATTAAAAGAAACAGTCGATGTGTTTTCATCATTTAAATTTCAGATTTATTCACATTTATGAATAAAATTTGACCACCTGCGTTCTTTAAGACACTGAAGTAAATAAACCTTTATTAAAACCTCAATAATGTTTATTTATGTGATCAATATTATCTAATAAAGGTCAGTTGGGTTTTTAATAGCTCTCTTTATTGATCAGGGTCTTTTTTAAAGTAAGTAAATAAACTTTACATATAAAATGTCTCTCAGTTAGAAGTTACTGTAAAGTGAAAATATTAGATAGCTAAACAGGAAATAACAATATAAAGATCAATAAGATCAATACGAACTTATAGACAAACATTATAGATAAACTGACTCCCTGTGACACATTTAACTGTTCACAGACAGACAGACAGGCAGATAGAGAGGTCTGTATGTCTCTCTCTCTCTCTCTCTGTCTGTCTGTCTGTCTCTCTCTCTCTCTCTCTGTCTGTCCCTCTCTCTGTCTGTCTGTCTGTCTGTCTGTCTGTCTGTCTCTTTCTCTGTCTGTCTGACAACCTCAGTTATAAAGTTATATAAACATGTAAATTAATAATTTATTCTGTTAAACTTTATATTTTATTGTTCAGAGTTTAAATTTAAACTTTTAAGCAAAAATACCCCAAATTCTGTTTACAGCTTTTATTATTATTATTATTATTGTTATTATTATTATTATATTATATTATTCCTGTTAATGAATCTTTATAAATAAATAAAACTGCAGATGAAACATTTTCCATAAGTTGCATTAATATTATGATTTATAGCTGAAATACACAATGAGCTTAATAAGGCTCTAAAAGTAACGTATTATTAAACACACATCATTTAATAATCTGTTATTAGACTCAGTGACGACTTTATATTCAATAATAAAGAAGTATTTTTATTTAATGCTTCACTAATGTGACACAATAAGTTCAAATATTTTCATTTGATATTTCTATATATTGTGATTAAATCAGCAGCTCCGACCCTGTAGAAGCATCTAAAGCTTTAATGATAATAATGTTCACCAGGCAGCAGAGAGAATAAAACTAGTGAAAGTATCTGAGGATAAAGCAGCGCCGTACATTAACAGCATTAACTCAGGATGTGAGTAAGTGGATTACCTGATCCAGGTTCCGTCGGTTAATGAATACACACACAGAGAGACCACAGTCCAGCAGCCAGATGGCCCATGGAAGAATTTTTCCCATCATCCTCCTCTCTGATCAAGCTGCCTGTGCCAACACGGCTCCACTGATCCCCGTCCACAGCTTTACTCCGCGGGGACAAACAAACGGACGCCGCTGGGGCTCCGAGCCGAAGAACAACGGCCAGAAACTCAATGACAAAATGTTTCTGAACTCAACATGTCACCGAATCAAAAACAGACTGAAGCCGGAGAGAATCAGGACACTTTAACACTCAGTTATTACAAATAATGTTTCTTCTTTAACTTCTCTGTTCATTAAACTACAATATAAAACCTATAAAAACACATTTTAATAACTGTAAACATTATAATACTGTATTAAGTTATATTATATATATTATAACATTATAATACTGTATTAAGTTATATTATATATATTATAACATTATAATACTGTATTAAGTTATATTATACATATATTAGAACATTATAATGCTGTATTAAGTTATATTCTATATATTATAACATTATAATACTGTATTAAGTTATATTATACATATATTAGAACATTATAATGCTGTATTAAGTTATATTATATATATTATAACATTATAATACTGTATTAAGTTATATTATATATATTATAACATTATAATACTGTATTAAGTTATATTATATATATTATAACATTATAATACTGTATTAAGTTATATTATATATATTAGAACATTATAATACTGTATTAAGTTATATTATACATATATTAGAACATTATAATGCTGTATTAAGTTATATTATAAATATATTAGAACATTATAATGCTGTATTAAGTTATATTATATATATATTAGAACATTATAATGCTGTATTAAGTTATATTATATATATATTATAACATTATAATGCTGTATTAAGTTAATCGGTTTAATAGTTTAAGTTGAACTAACTCATCAGGTTTTACAGTGAAGGAAAGAAAAGCTTCCACCAAACTGTATTTGAATATATTAAATATTTGAGTTTATCTGCAGCTTTCTAATTAATTTAATGTAAAGTTTCCATCTATACAGTACAGAAGCACATATAGAGATTTGATTAATTTAATTAATCAGACTGTTGTTTGTGATGTTTTACAGGTTTTATTGAATCTAAAGTCAATAGATTGTAGTGGTGACTTCAATTTAAATTCTCACTTAGTTGTTTAATATATTAAGTTTTACATATTAAAACTCAAACCAATGTAAAATAAAGTTTCCATTCATTCTGTATTTCCAGACCTTCGTCTGATCTCAGAACCACATTCTCTTCAACTGCCTTTTAATTTACGTCTAATCTCAATAATTCTGGTTAAAAATGAACCAACAAATCTTCATTCTGGCTTTACACTGATACATACTGCCTCCAGGAAATAGCCATATCCTCACACTCTAAAGACTCTCTTACTTTCATCTCCAGCTCACTCGAGTACGGTGTGACTCAGTTGATCTTTAAGTAGAGCAGGCAGTGACTGACTGATACACGTTTGGCCCTCTGGGCTTACCGTAGCTGTATCAGCATGATAGGAGCTCTCGTACACACTCGCCGCCCTCCACACTTCCTTTATATGCACAACTGCATCCTGTCCAAAGACCACTCGGAGCTTTGAGGCTCGCCAGGTTCGTTCATTTGGTTTGATATTCAGACTTATTTTTATTTCCTGATGGTTTTAATAATAGTTTGGTACGACGAGAATATAAGGGCCAGACTTTTTGGGGAGGAGATACGAGAATAAAGTTGTAACATTACCAGAATAAAGTCGTAACATTACCAGAATAAAGTCGTAACATTACCAGAATAAAGTCGTAACATTACCAGAATAAAGTCGTAATATTACCAGAATAAAGTCGTAATATTACGAGAATAAAGTCGTAACATTACCAGAATAAAGTCGTAATATTAGGAGAATAAAGTCGTAATATTAAGAGAATAAAGTAGTAAATGTATGAGAACTGTCAGCCTGTTGGCTCAGCCAGCAAAACTGTTTTACGATGAAATGATGAACACGTTAGTTTACCTGTTGACTGTACGGTACGACTGAGACAAACAGCAGCTGCTGGGTTCAGGCTGAGGCTGCTGATTGGTTGAGCTGCTCACGTCAGATCTTGATAACTCTATCGAAGCTTTTTTCTCATTAAAACGACTCTTGTTCTCGTAATATTACGACTTTATTCTCGTAACATTCCGACTTTTTTCTCATAACATTACGACTTTTTTCTTGTAACATTACAACTTTATTCTCGTAATATTACGACTTTATTCTCGTAGACCTAATATTATGAATTTATTCTCGTAACATTACGACTTTATTCTCGTAACATTACGACTTTTTTCTCGTAACATTACGACTTTTTTCTCGTAACATTCTGACTTTATTCTCGTAATGTTACGACGTAATTTCCCCCAAAACAATACTTCATCGTAGTTTGGCGTGTTGATTTTGTCTCTATCTTATTTCTGCTGTTGTTCGTGATCCAACATACTAGCGGGTGAGAAATTAAAAACCAACAGAAAGTGTCAGTAAGGTAACAGTAACAGCTTCATATATATTCTACCTGAACTCTTTACCTGCCCACTTCCTGTTTACCTGTTTGGGTCCTTTTCTTTGCCGCCTCGCACACAGCCATTGCCATCCAGCTCATCCGACCCAGCTAAACCAAAGCAATGTGACACTCCTGAGGAACATATCTGGCTCAGTGTTTGGTAGTGTCAGTTAGGCATTGACTCTGAACCCTTTACCTGCTCCCTTCCTGTTTACCTGTGGAGTCTGCCTGGGTGTCTGCGTTTGGGTCCTAGCTGCTCGTTAAAACAAATAGTCTTCCACTTGTGACCAGCTCTTTGTGTTAGTAAGCCTGACACTGTTGTGCAAATCCCTTAACATCCCAAAAAACATCCGTCCCAGGCACTAGTCTCCACCATCCCCTGAGAGAAATATCTGGCTCTGAGTTTGGCTCTGAGTGGGTCTTGTGTTTGTACAGTGAGTTTATCAGAGCGTGTTTGATGCAAACAGCTGACTGCTGCTGCTGGAAATATGTTTCATTCGAATGAAATCTGCAGGCTGGAAAAACCAAAACAATGAGCAGAAAGTTTTCACACTTTCCCCTCTACTGGT